GGGTAAGAGATCAACTAAAGGACTTGTATGCATGCATATAAGCATAACCAGTGGACATAAGACATTGGGGGATAGGGGAGGCTAGGGGACTGTCTAGGGCGGGGGGATAAAATGGACACATATGTAATACCCTTTGTAATACTTTAAGCAATAAAAAAAAAAAAAAAAAAAATATATGTGCATTTTATAAAGAAATGAATGAGTCCTTTAGATATGGTCTATTAATAAGAAATTTTATTTTACACACAGAAACATGAACATGTATCTCACTAATAAGGATTCTACTTGTTCATTTTTTTTTTAAACAATCTCTCACTCTCTCTCCCTCCCTCCCTCCTTCCTCCTTCTTCCTCCCTCCTCCCTCCTCCCTCCTCCCTCCTCCCTCCTTCCCTTCCTCCCTCCTTCCCTTCATTAATAGGAGTGAGCTGAGTCGGCAGAAACTTCATACCCAAGAGCTGCTTTCTCAGCTGGAAATGGCAAATGAAAAGGTAGCTGAGGTAAGATAATGACTCCCGCGGGAGGCCCTTCTGCTGCAGCCTGATATACATGTTAGAAACTTTTACTCGAGCCAAGTCCAAATTAATTCTCTACTTGGAAATGGCTGTACAGATGTGTATATTTCCTGTAGAAATCATCCATAACCCAAAAGTCCTCAGGTGGTACCGTGTGAATAAAAGCCTGAGAGTCAGGGATCCATCATGTGCATATGACAGAGGCGGTGCTGGTGCCGGTCTCAGAGACTCTGCTAGGAACCTCGGAGGTCTGTGCGTGTCTGAGATTATTTTTTAACCTGTTCCTTTTGTTTAGTTTTCATCCATCACAAGAGATGCGTAGAAAATACTTTGGCCTCCTGGAATATATTAACATACTCCTGTAGATAACTGGAGAGCTAACTAGAGCAAGAATTCAGGTTTTTTCCTTGAAGTGTTAAAAAAGTAAGTAATTTCTAGATTATGATTAGGGCATTCTAGAACTCTAGTTCTCCTTTTGATGTTCCACCTTCGAATGTATTTGCTGGAATTTCTTCAACAGTCTGTCTGGCCCACTGTCTCTTTGTGGCCTGCTATAGCTGCCAGAGAGAAATCATTACTCTTAAGTTTTGTGGCATTATAAATTGATATGAACAATTTAGAAAACAATTCCACCCTAGCCATTAAAGTACACTTTGGTATAGCTCCCACTTCCAGGAATCTGGTCTAAGGGGGTCATTTAAAATGGGAAAAAATTTAAAGGAAGATATTCAACACAGTAATGTTAATAATATCGGAAGATCAGAAGCAACCACAATGAATCATTAAAAAAGAACGACTGTCTATATATTATGATTTCTGGACTGTGCCTTAACTATTATTATGACAGATAGAAAAATGTATGTTATGTGCAGTCTGATAGTGACTATGAAATTCATTATTATAGATGGTGGCATTTTTTCCCTGAGTTCTCTCTGGTTTTAAAATGTGCCTCTTAAATTTACGACTTCATATTTAAACAATTTTGTAAATTGGAATAGCCAGTATAGTTCTCATCATAAAATTTAATTTTGCTTTTGGGCACACTGAGAAATATAATAAGCTTATTTTAACAGGATACTGTTATTTCAATATTTTACGTTACTAGGCCTGACAGTCCCTGTAATCACTTGTGTGTTAGGACATGGGAACTATATTGTTCTTCATAGAAAGTGTGTTTTTCTTTTTATTCCTGATTAGGCTGGTTACTCTCTCAATTCCCACAAGTGCCAGAAAAATTGAATAACAATACCAGTTGTACTAATACAAAAACATTTTGTTCAGGCGAGTAAGTATGGAAGGACTGGTGCGTTTTTTAACTGAAGCTTCTTTGAGCCATGTGCGTGATGGCATGCAGTGTCAGATTTATGTTCGTGACGCTGAGAGTCTCCTGAGGCTGCTCTACCAGGTTACCACTGGTGATGTGCGGTCTCGGCTCTGGAGGGCCGAGGTCCTGGAGATCAGGAGGTCGGCAGGGTTGGTTCCTCTCGTGGGCTCGGAGGAGGGTAGGTCCATGCCTGTCTCCTAGCTTCCGGCAGCCTGGGGCATTCCTCGGCTTGTAGATGGTGTTCGCCCTGAGTCTTTCTATGGTCTTCCCTTTGCACATGTCTCTCTGTCCAAATTCCCCTTTTTATAAAGACACCAGTCGTATTTGATTAAGGTCAAGCCTAGTAGTATCATTCTAACATAATCATTAGCAAAAACCCTATTTCCAAATAAAGACATTTATAGGTACCGTGGGTTAGGACTTCAATATATATTTAGGGGCATAATTCAACCCATAACAATGTCTTAATAACTCTGTTGACCCTAATACCTTGTGGAGTATATAGCTGTTTGGGGAACATGTGGAAACAGACTTCTTAACCTTTTAAAGAAAATCTTTAGCATATAAATCATTTAAGGCACATCTAACACTGTAAAAACCAGGATTTCCAAAATGAATATTTTCGTTTCTTGAACGTTTAATAATGACGATGTCCCAGTTTCCCTAGAACAGTGGTTCTCAACCTTCCTAATGCCGCGACCCTTTAATACAGTTCCTCATGTTGTGACCTCCAACCATAAAATTATTTTCGTTGCTACTTAATAACTGTAATGTTGCTACTGTTATGAATCGTAATGTAAATATCTGATATGCAGGATGTATTTCGGTGACCCCTGTGAAAGGGTCGTTCGACACCCAAAGGGGTCGCAACCCACAGGTTGAGAACCGCTGCCCTGGAATTTGGTCCGAGCACAGTGGCTCTGAGGACACCAGCAGGCAGTGCCAGCGCCTGCTGGGAACATGGTAGACACAAGGACTCTCAGGTTGGGAGTAGGTCCAGGTGGGAGGCCCAGCAGTCTGTGTTTCCACACTCCCCACACTGGAAGCACTGAGCCTGCATCTCAAGGTTAACAGGTCAAAAACTGGAAATCCGTTCTCAACTTCTGATTCTCTTTGCTTTGCACTTAATCCACTTTTTTGTTGACATGGAGGGGTAAAACGGTTTAGTGAGGATGTACAACCAGCTTTGAATTTCATAACTTGAAAAATGTACATTTGGAGACACTATCTTTGCATTTTATAGTGGTATCTCAGATGAGGTCCAGATTCCCATTGATTATTCCACAAATGCCTCCATGTCACGCGTGGATCTCTAACCCATTTGTTTTATGTTTCCTCTTCACAGAGTGAAAAGTTAATTCTCGAGCATCAAGAAAAAGCCAACAGACTCCAGAGGCGGCTCAGTCAGGCGGAGCAGAGAGCCGCGTCCGCTTCTCAGCAGGTAGGGAGCACCTCGCCGCCCCTGACAGTAACCGTCCGGGTGGGTCACGCTAAGAAAGGCTCCTCAGAAGTCCCCAGAGAACTAGTAGGATTATTTTTACCTGATTAAACTATTTGAAATTAATCTCTATTATTTGGGGTTGAAAGTAAACTTTAAAGTCAGAAATAAATATCAGTCTCTGCAGTTGACTCCCACCTCTGGAACCACTCTATCCCTCACAGACACTAGCCACCAGCAGCTGCTCCAATTAATTAAAATGAAATAAACTAAAATAAATCTGCAATCAGACTAGCAGATACCAGGTGCTCAATGACCATGCGTCACATTAGACAGCATGAATGTGGAACTCTCTGTCCGAGGAAGTCCGAGGGACGCCCTGCCCCAGAGGCTGTGCGTGTGAACTGGGCAGGTGTTTTCCGACAGATTTGGAAGTAGGTAGCATTGCTCTGAACGCACTATTTCAAATGCACTAACTTTGTTTTAATTGTAGTTTTTAAATGGAAAAAATTACTTTGTGTATAGGTTAACTCCATTTAATGCACATTTGTATATGACTATCACTCTAAAATATGATATAAAGTCCAGTGGGAAATAGAGTTTGAAAATGCATTCGTGAAATATTGATAAGGGGGTAATTATCCATAATGCACACACATCATTAGGAAATGAGCCATTTGTCTACAATAGGAGCAATAGTCCCTCCTATTGGGAACAAAATGAGATCAGTTTAGTGAATATAAACATAGGCTGGAAACAGTTCAGATAGATAGTTAGATAGGTAGATAGATAGGCAGATAGACGGACAGGCAGATCGATAGATAGGTATGGATAGGCAGGCAGGCAGGCAGACAAAAAACAAGTTAATACATTATTAGTTATATTTGGCTATAAATGTACTATTTTAATTAAAATTAATATTACTCTTAGATATTATACCATTTTATACATAGTAAAGCAACTCTGAATACTGAATTAAGTTTATGTTTGTGATATTTACAGATTTTCTTTTTAAATCTACTTCTGGTATGACCATGAGGTGACACTTAAATGAAATCCAGCCATAATTTGCCCTTCTCCTTCTGTCCCCTCCCTCTTGACAGTAATTATAGCTTTATTAAATATGTTTAATTTCTTATGGAATAATGAAGTAATGGACTACTTAATTACTCAAGAATTCCTCCATTCATGTGGATTATACGGTAGTAGGAGCGAGGGTGTGCTGGGCAGTGTCTGGAGCGTGTGTTTGGTGTTGACAAATAGCCTGCTGTCCCTCCGTAGCCATGTGACTTAGGGCCGCCTCCACCTCTCTACGCCTCGTGCTCTTCTTGCTCAGCATAGGATACTAATGCCTCCATTACAGTTATTGAAAGATGAAGGGAATTCACACATACAAAGCACTTAGTCATTAAATGGTAAGTAGATAGATATATAAGAAATTAAATTTCTTACATCACAATCCTTATAGCTTCAAGTTTGCCTTTTTTAATGAATGTGATAAAGTGCCTGCTTAAAATCACCTACCTCGAGTCCCGTAGTAAAAGGGTGCAGTTACAGAACTTCGCTGTACTGTCCCGGTGACATCTGGCTGCGTCTCCCTCTGGACAGTTAAACCTGAGCGGCCTCCTGTTAAACTCAGATGGCAAAGTTGCCCTGAGTTTAGCTCTTTGTGAGGTGTTTTTTTTTTAATGTTTTTCAGTAAACACTTCACAAATTTTTCCTTAAGCTTTTCTTCTCCTATTTTGTTCTCCTTTAAAGATGGAAAGTAACCATACAGCCTTATGCCCATACACAAAAAGGAATTTACCCCCTGGAGTTAATATTTTTTCCTTAAGTGAGTCCAAGTTATAAACTTTCTTTATGAGACATATATTCAGGGTTTTTTTAAACCTTTATCTTTGCCTTCTCTGAATTCTTTCTAATTAATTTTTTCATTTTCCTCCAAAAAATGGAAACTGCTAATAGAAATGATATCCTGCTAAGGGCCTGATATTTAACGCAGTGATGGAGGTGAGAGATCCTCATTGTCTGTACTCACCAGTGCAGCCCAGCACCCTGCTGGGTCCAGGGAGAGCCCCTCAGTCCTGACTCAGCCGGTCCTGACCCTGCTCCTCTGGTTTCCTGTCTCCACCGCCTCCCCGGCCAGTACTGTGGCCACGTGTTCTAAGTCACCATGCACCATGACTGCCGTGTCTTAGAAATCAGGGCAGTGCAGCCTTTCTCTGCAAGAACACAAAACCTAGAAACTAGGAAAGAAATCAGTAAATGTAACGATGTAAAATTTCAAATTTCTACATGAAGTCAATGACGGACTGAGGAAAGTATGTGCAACAAGTATATGACCAAGAGGCTAATGTCGTGGATGCATATAAGGAGTGGCTGCATTAGCAAAGAAGTGCTGCAGCTCCCACATCATTGGTGTGATGGCTGTTGGTGCGGTAGCAGGTTAGGCAGGATCTCTCAGGCTGTGAGTGTACATAACCTGGGACCAGCATTCCTAAGAATATGTTCTGCAGGTGGTCCCTTACCTCTGGGCACAGCTGTACATGGAAGCATGAAGAAGCCTAATTGCAGCATTGCTTATCCTTTTAAAATATTAAAAATATCTAAATGCCCATCAACAGAAAACCAGCTAAATTAAAGAATATCCATGCAGGGGAAAGTTAGCAGCTGTTAAGGAATAAAATAGATCTAATATGAAACCATTTCGCACCAGCTAGTTTGACTCAGTGGATAGAGCATCAGCCTGCCGACTGAAGGGTTCCAGGTTCAATATCAGTCAAGGGCATGTACCTCGGTTGCAGGCTCAATCCTCAGTCCTGGATGGGGTGTATGCGGAACCAATCAATTTGTCTCTCTCACATCATCGTTGCTTCTCTCTCTCTCTCTGCCTCTCCCCTTCCCTTCTGCTCTCTCTGAAAATCAATGGAAAAAATATCTTAGGTGAAGATTAACAAAAAATAAGAAAATAATATGGAAGCATTTCTAAGGTAGATCTTGTAGCAGGAAAAAAAAAACAAGATGAAAAGTCTGCATCATCCTTTATCATTTTCTAAATAAAAAGGGGTGAGGACATATATGCATATACCCTCATTTAGAATATTTCAGGAAAAATGCTTAGGAACTGGAAATAGTGGTTGAGTCTGGAAGGAGGGCTATGGAAATAGCACAGTAGTGGGAAGATTTCCTTTATGCTATGTCGTACCGTTCGTTTTATTTTTTGCACTGTTAGGTTTTTTTACTATGTGTATATTCCATATTTTAATCAATTCCAATTAATATGTAAAGATTATTTTCCTGTTGGACTTTTCTTACTGTGACCTATCATCTCTTTATTACCAGCCCTGCAGTGTGCTGGCTTACACTTAGTTTCTGTTTTAGCCACTTTTCCGATTACCTTTCCTCTGGCTGTTCTCCCTCCTCTGTGGAATATGTCTTGGAATTCCCGGGATGTCACTGAGCTGTGGGATGTCGTATTTGGCTTGTGTGTCTAGTGTGATGCAGGCACTTTAAGTGTCTCAGGAGTGAAATAGAAGTGAGCACAGAGGGCGACCTCTTCCAAGGCCCTTTCCACTAGGATGATGTTCAATGACTGTAAGCTGTGGCGGGTTACACTGTGTGGAAAATTCACCTAAGACTTCCCCTAGGAAAGTGACTGCTTACTGACTGTTCATTTCAATTGCAGCTCAGTGTGGTTACAGTACAGAGAAGAAAAGCAGCCTCCATGATGAACCTGGAAAATATCTAAAAAGGCCCGTAGTTCACCCCAGCCTTAGAGGGGAAGCTGCTGCACTAGGAGGTTGAATGGGAAAGCCTGCCGAGAAGGGCAAAGGCCCTGCCCCTGGCACGCGCATTTGCCGTTGTTTTGGGGGGTTATTGGGAAGCAGGACAGTGGCAGCTTCCTGGGAGTAAAGGAAACATAACCGGCACGGACTTCAGTGGAGAATAAAGCAGCTGAGAAGACTCATTGCCTCCGCCAGTGTGTCTATTGTCCCCCGCCCCCGCCCCCCCCCCCCATCCTTTGGAAGAGCATAACTTCTAGACCAGTGATGGCGAACCTATGACACACGTGTCAGAGGTGACACACGAACTCATTTTTTGGGTTGATTTTTCTTTGTTAAATGGCATTTAAATATATAAAATAAATATCAAAAATATACATCTTTGTTTTACTATAGTTGCAAATATCAAAAATTTCTGTATGTGACACAGAACCAGAGTTAAGTTAGGGTTTTTCAAAATGCTGACACGCCGAGCTCAAAAGGTTCGCCATCACTGTTCTAGACTATGCTAATCATGAGAAAGAGATTTCACGAATATACTAAAATGTTAATATTTCTGTTTCTGAGATTTGAGAATTTTACATCAGATTGTTACTTCTAACTCATTTTTAAGGTTCCCAAGTTATCCATTTTATTATGAACTCGTAAATGTAATAAATTATGTGTTCTAAAATGATGCTGTCGTGTATTTTAATATGTAACTAGTGATTCTGTTTCTCACTGACATAATTTCCAGGATTTATCAAATGCTGACGATAAGGGTTTGGGAGGTGTGGGGGGTTTTGATCAGATGGACTTGGTTCTGAGGCTGTGCCGCCTGTGCTCTTGGGACTGCGGACTTTGCTGCTGTTCTCGCTCCTGGTGGGAATGGGACAGACAGGTGTGCTCTGGACAGCAAGCTGGGAGACCTGTGTGGTTCAAATAAAAGATAGCGCCTTGAGTTTGAGGTGACACGGAAACGTTCGTGTGTTGATATTCAGCCAGCAGTGGGAAGTTTAGGACTGATGCAGACGAGCCAGGATGTCGTGGGGTCTTTGGCTGGAGCTGAGTTGAGGCTGTGGCGCAGAGCTGGCCCTGGGCCTTGCGTGCTGGGCTGGCTCCCCCTCGCCCCTCCTCTCTTGCCCTCTCCCTGACATTGCCTTTTCCTTCCTTCCATCACCACATCCTCCTCTCCCCACACAGGGCTGTGTTCACACCCCGACGTGTGCACATTCTTCAGCTGCCACTCAGTCTAGGTGAGGGCTGCCGTGTTGCTCGCAGAGTGTGCTATAGGGTTTCCCCACGGTGCTTACCAAGATTTGTCAGTAACTCTGAGTTTTTCCTTTAAGGTCCTCTCTACCCCAGCAGGCCGCAGGCTCTGTGAGAGGAGGACTTGCGTCTCTGTAACCTTAGCACTCAGCAGAGTTCCTAGTATTTACTGCTTGTTCCTTTTTAAAGCCCTTTAAGCCCTTTAACATGGCATCATGGAAATTTTCATTCAATATTTTCACCCTTTTTGAAAGAATAAAAAAGCCATTAGAGCATAATGTGATATATAAGGAAATCTGTTAGCACTTACGTCTGTGAAGATTAAAACGAGATTAGCATCTCCTTTCATCTAGAACAGTGGTTCTCAACCTTGGCTGCACATTAGAATCACTTGGGAATCTTTTTTTAAATCCTGATTTCTGGGCCTCATCCTCCAGAAATTCTGTTTCTTTGTTATGGGGTGGGGCCACACATTAGTAACAAAGAAGCATAATTTCCAGAGGATGAGGCCCAGCAATCAGGATTTTTAAAAGATTCCCAAGTGATTCTAATGTGCAGCCAAGGTTGAGAACCACTGATCTAGAAAGAGGAGAGAAGCTATAATCACGTTTCTATAAATAACTAAAAGAATCCATGGAGACTGCGTCCCTGGGTCTACAGTAAACATGCTGATCTGTATTAATGATGCCTGTTATTGAGCACCTATCACACATACATAGGTATTTCGCTAACATTTTGCATTTGTTAGCTCATAGAATACAACACCCCTGCAAGGGGGACATTATTCCATTTCCTAATATAGAAGGTATGATGGAAGTTAACCAACTTGCTCTGGGTCAAAAGCAGGAAAGTGGCTCTGAGGTTTCACACCCAGCCTCTCCCACACCAGACGCCTTCTACTCGCCATGCGGCGTCTCCGGGGCCACAAAAGCTACACCTTTGACCTCTCTCCTATTTGCTGACAGGGACTGAGCAGTCACCTTTCTCATTCTCTGATGCCCTGGGATGGAGTTCACCTGGGCCCCATCCTGGACTTCACGTAACTTCTACCAGTACCCTCCACACTGGTATTACTCACTACCCATTAGTGTGTCCTTCTCGGTTCAAGGATCGTGTTTTTGATGGGAAATACAGGTGCAGAGAAGAAAAGCAGCCTAATCCTAATGCAAATTAGGATTTGAAAAATTCTACTTCCACTTTTTCATTCATCAACCCTATTATAACAAATCTGAACTGTGAGCCCTTTTTATCTCCTTTTTACCTTTTCTGATTAAGCCAAAAAAGCCCTTTTGGTCATCTAATTAATATGCATTACAGAGGAAACTTGGTATAAGAAAAGCAACTTCATATATAGTGGGATTTGGTAGTTTTTTTCTATAATGGGTGGTAAAAATTGCACCAAAAAAGTATGAAGCGATGAACGATGGATGTGGACAACAGGGGGTGAGGATGAGGGCAGGATTGGGGGGATGAGAGGACATTGGGGGGATAAGGACACATTTATAATATCTTAATAAAGGGGGAAAAAGACTATGAAGCATCTACCAGAAATCATAAATATGTTAAATCTGGTTTAGCAGTTGTAAAGTGGTTGGTATAATATTGTATGATTTGCTGTGTCAAAATTTGGGACTTGGGACCAGTAGAGGCAAAGATATGATCACAAGCATCTGATATGAAAAAAAGTTCAGCAATTCAAACAGTGAAGCTGGCACAGGGCCGAAAGGCGCAAGAAAAGGAGGAACTCGCCCTGAGGCTGCTGCGTGGGGAGGGAGCGCCACACGGGTGGTAATCCTGGGTTAGAGCCTTCCGCCAGGTGAGTGGGTAAAATAGCCATAATTAATCCATAGTTATAAATGTGCTACTTAAAATTCAGCCAGATATAAGCCAAGTAGTAGTGAGAATATCAAGATACATTAGTGTTAATTAGGAGTGACTACTATTTTTTTAAATCTTTGTTATTTAATTTGATAAAAATTGTTTATCTTGGCTATTTAATTTGACAAATAAGTCATTGCTTGGTTTATTTGAAAAATTAACTGGATTTGTTATACCTTCTATTACAAAAATATGATTTGAAGGTTTGACATAGCATCAATTTAAAGTTTTTAGACATTAGTCCTAATTCTAGATTCATCATTAAGAAACTGTGTGACTCTAAATAACTTTAACTTTCCAGGAAGGTGTTGGGATATAGAAAATTGTTACTGAGTTTCTGATAGCAATGCTCTTTTTTTTTTTGCTCATATATGCATATGTTCTATCTGAAAATGTGTATGTGTGCTCGCTACATAAATGTACATGATGCTACAGAAACTAATTCCATTCTCCCTAGTACAGCAGTTCTCAACCTGTGGGTCGCAACCCCTTTGGGGGACGAACGACCCTTTCACAGGGGTCGCCTAAGACCATCGGAAAACACATATAATTACATATTGTTTTGTAATTAATCACTATGCTTTAATTATGTTCAAGCTGTAACAATGAAATTGGGGGTCACCACAACATGAGGAACTGTATTAAAGGGTCACGGCATTAGGAAGGTTGAGAACCACTGCCCTAGAAGAAGGCAGCAACTGACCACAAGCTGACTGTATTAGTCATTATCCATTAGGTTACGTTCAGAGTCATTCGGCCAGGACATTGACCATTGACGTAGGTTTCAGGCCATGATTATCAGCTTTACTTTATAGAAATTCATTAACCTAAAGTTCCCATGTGTAATCCTCAGCACACTCAGGAACACCAGAGCTCCTTAGGGGAACTATCTTTATATTCTGTAAGGCAGCCGAGCTCGAGGGATTGACTGACTCCCAGCTCTACCACCTACTGACCTCGAGCAATTAACTTGACTTTTGTGCCTCAGTTTCCTCATCTGCAAATTAGATAACACTTACCTCACATGTGAGGCTTAAACACAGTCACTGTACATAAACTAGCCCAGTGCCTGCGAGGTGAAAGCCCTGGCATATCTGCAGGAGTCTGGAGGTTCTCCTGAAGGCTATGCGCCGAATGACAGACTCAGATTTTAATTGCACAAGCTATCACTATGGAGACAGCGTTGGCAAAGCTGCAGCTAATTGAGGGGGAGGAGGGATTAATTTCAGCAAGACTGGAGTGAAGGAAACAAGAGGCAGCTGCAATCACCCAGGCAAGGACTGGTGCAGCTTGAGCTACGTGGCACGTGGTTCTGGGATTGAGAAGTGAAAAATGCTGAGGAGATACTAAGTGGGATCCACAGACCTACGACTTGGCCGTGGGCGTGGAAGAAAGGACTCAGGCAGCACTCCCAGGCTCCAGGCTTGCGTTACTGTCTCTGAGGCAGGACATGAAAAGGATGAGTTCCGAAACCCCTAGCACCTGCCTACATCCCGAGGAAAGGCGCGGGCTCGGCCCAGGAAGAGCCGGAGTGCAGATGTGGACTCGGCCGTGGAGAGCAGCTGAAGCCAGGGAAGTAGATACAAGATGTGCTCATGTCCCTTTTTCAATAACCAGACAGCCCAAGCTCTCCTCCTCTCCCCAGACCAGGCCACATCACCGACGCAGTTGTGAGCAATAGAGAGAAACCCTCCTGCACCCTGGAAGCTAATCGCCAAGTTTGCTGCAGATGGCGACTTTCAAAGTAGAAACCGCTCTCTGAGTGATCTGGGTGAGCACGGTGAGTGAGCTGGGGGAGCACGGGAGCACGGGTCCCTGGTGCCGCATTCCCCATCACGTGCAGACCTGCCACGGCTAAGCCCTGCCTGTGGCTCCTGGGGACTTAACTTCCCTGGGGAACTATTGTGGTTATTCAACGTGAAGACCTTGTAGGAAGAATCCCAGTTCTTTCTCTCTGGGGAGAGCAAGCAACATGGAAGGAAACAGTCACTAAGGAGGAACCAGGAGAAATTAACTTTTAGCCAAATGTATGAACAATTCATGTTAAAAAAAAAAAAAGCACACACACACTGGCCAAATTATACATGAGGGCAGTAGCGCTACCCTGGTGTGGCTCCTGTACACCCCAGTCTAGGTGAGGATGCATGACCCACGTCGGCTTGGCTGTCCCCAACACAGAAAACTGCATGTCGTGGATGTGAATTTCTGCATGTGGTGACTCAATGCTGCTTCAGGCAGGGAGAGCACCAAGCTAGACATTAGAAATGGGGCCGAGCCCTGACTGGTTTGGCTCAGTGGATAGAGCGTCCACCTGCAGACTGAAGGGTCCCAGGATTGATTCTGGTCAAGGGCATGTACCTTGGTTGCGGGCACATCCCCAGTGGGGAGTGTGCAGGAGGCAGCTGATCGATGTTTCTCTCTCATCGATGTTTCTGGCTCTCTATCCCTTTCCCTTCCTCTCTGTGAAAAATCAATTTTATATATATATATATATATATATATATATATATATATATATATTATATATATATTATAATGTACTAAAAAAAAAAAAAAAAAAGTGGAGCTGAAGCCCAGGCCTAATGAGGTGACCTCGACATGTCTTTGTAGAACGCAGAAAATACCTAAGAATGCGTTTAATAAAACCGTGCTCTTAAAAGTTATCTTTTTAAAGAGCCTTGTGAAACAATCTTCCTGCGCTCAGGAATAACATCTTTTTTCGCCTCAGAATGCTCACCAGTCAACAATATGTTGGAAAAAGGTCTTGTTCCTCATCATAGAAATAGCCTCCCAGCTATTAAATCCTTCTGCAGCTTTACCTAAGTTACTGCATGGACTTGCTCGAAGTATCACAGTAACCCCAGTCACACTGTAGGATGTTACCCTCTTTTCACAGAAGGGGAAATTGAGGCTTATAAAGGCTAGGCGATCTGGCCAAGGTCATGCGACCAGTCTCTCTGACCCTAAAGTCTTAAGTTGCTTCAACGACTAGTTGTTTTCAGATCTAAAATTGTGTTCCGGAAAGAACTCCATTGCGATAGGAAAGACAAAAATCAAACCGTGATCATCTTTCAGTGTCTCCACATCAGAGCTGGGCAGAAAGCAGCCCCTCAGCGGGGTTGGGGGGGGGGGGGCGGGCGGGGCACGGCAGCGCCTACCTCTTGTCCTGTTCCCTGCAGTTTATTCATCATCTAAACCAGGACACACTTGCTACACGCCGATTCAGAACTAAGTCATGTACATCTTTAAACATTTAGCAACAGCAGATCTCAAAAGACACTTAAGATGTATTGCAAAATGTACAGCATTTATTCACATACAGACAAAAAGGCACAAATTCTACTAAATAGTTCAACAAAAAAATACAGCTGTCCTCAACTAGTTTTATAAATACTTTCAAAAAGGGGGTAGAAATAAATACAGGATTGGGCCATGTCATATAAAATAGTCATCTCTACATATACTTTGTTTAATTTCTGATTTGTAACTCTTCATGCACCTTTTTTTTTCAATTTTAGCTGAATGGACACCAAGCTAGGCACGTAGTGAAAAATCCTCTGTACAAGGTTACAAATGTAATGACAAGTTTGTCCATTTGAAAATAATTAAGATTTGTACACAACACATATAACCCTTCATCGAGATTTTGTGTTTATAACCTAACAAATGACATTCCAGGCAACTTTACAAAAGTTTAACTAGCCTACATTTTGACATAATACATTGATCATAATCAAAGATACTTCTTGGTCAGGGTGCACAAGGAAAGATAAAGCTAAAAAAAAAAAAAAAAGAAAGAAAAGAGCAAATGGTAGGTCCCACACTAAGAAGTTTACATGGGGGGCCGGGTGGGGAGTAGGGGGCGGGTTGCTGCTGATGGTGGCCTCGCAGACATCCCAGCAGGACAGAAAACTGACCTACAAAGCTATCATTACACCGGAGAAACCGTGCTCTAGCCATTTGCATTTCAAAGCAGAAATAAAAAGTGGGCTTTTTATATTTTGTGTGTCTTGTTTTCCTTGGGCTATTTTTTTTTTTTTTGTCTTATGTTGTTTTTGTTGTTTTTTTGGTTCAGCATAACTTGAAACGTTTGAAAGCTTTTCAACCTAAATGTGGGGGGAAAACAGGTAAGGCATTATTTTTGCACAAAACTAGCATTCCTAATAGTGCAAATGAATCTGGTACCTCTTAAAACGGTGAGAGGTCATACGCTCACTAGAATTTAGGTTTTCTTTCTATGGCTTGACAAATCCATATCCTCTAACTCTCACCAGCGCTGTCACTGTGGTCCAAAGGTTAGAGTCCACCTTCTGTGCTCAGCAAAAGGTTTCTGCTCCTATTCAAAAAAATCTGACTTTTAAATTAGGCTATGAGTGAAAGTACAACTTGGATTTGTAAGAAACTTTTATCTGCAGCAACAGCTTATCTGGACAACAGTCTTTCAAAACGAGCCCCGTAGCTCAAAAATAGTCAATCTAAACCTGGGTCATCCTTTCCCCTCCCCTGAATTAGCTACTACAATGTATTCAAAAAGTTTAAGACTTGGTCTGAAAATGTCATACATACAATGGGGATGCATCCGATCTACTATTTGATCATCTGACAAAACTTGCATAGCAAGATGGAATTCAATAAGCCTTGTTTGTTGTTGACAATCCTCTGGAAGACTTGAAAGTTAACCGCAGGACTCAAACCATTATTCGAGTATCAGAATGTCCCTGCCACATGGAAGCAGACGTATAAATGAACCAGGAATCTGAATACTGATACCAGCAAACTAAGGGGCAATTTAGGGGAAGCTGGGCTTGTTCCAAGCGCCCATAATTCTAAGTCTCATTGCTATTTAAACTTTCCTTCTCTTAAGTTTGATGCACAACTACATTGAATTCCAAAGAAAATGAACAGGACCTTAACACTATTGTCTTAACACATATGCACTGCCGCCAGTGCAGAAACAGAACAGTGTACTCAAAGTAATGCTAAATTTATTATTGCTGATAACTTACGAGTTATTGCCATTTGCAATTAGAAAGTCCCAGTTACCAATCAGAGCCTAGAACTGACTCCAGAAAACCTACTACACTTAAAACTCTTTCCTGTAGAAATTGGTCAATGGTAAGAGGTTATCGCAACTTATTGCCTTTCTATTTTTTCTAAAATATAGCCTATTTCACGTGTGTGTGTTTTTTGTTTGGGGTATGGGGGTTTTTTCTTTTCTTTTTTTCCTTGTTCTTAAGGAATCTGTTCCGGTTGGGGACCCTGGGAAGTGTGAGTCAGCCGAGTCTGGAAGTTCATCGCTTGAACGTGAATGACTACTGTATTATTGGAGGCCAGCTGACCAGGGACTGCCAATGGCTAGGGACCCCCGCCCCCGCTGGCCCACAGGCAGCAGTTAGGGAAGAGGGTGTCAAGAGGACTGGTCAATGGGGCCTCAGCTGCCCTCTCTCACAGACAGACTTCCCAGTGACCTCGCTCTGCACCGGTCCTCTCCCATCCCCCTCCCAGGGTTTCAGGCTGAGGAGCCACATTCCCTCACATTCCAGCTGCCCCCAATTCAGGTCCTCCAGGGGTGACAGGCAACACTTCTCTCCTCCCACTGGGACATTTACACACAAGTCCCCTCGAGTTCCTCAAGCCCGGAGCAGCTGCCTACAGACTGCAATGCAACAAGAACAGCCTGGGGCCCACGGTGAACATGGTTTCCAACCCACCACCGTCCTGGAAAGTCAGTCAGGGGCTAGTAAACGGTACGTGAGGGTGTCTAGAACCATATCTGGTTCCGTGTATTCAGGGAACCAAGAGTTTGTGCTTTGGGAAGTATGCAGAGCAATAAAAACTCGCGAGGTTTCCGTAAGCCTCTCCCTCTTCAAAAACGCACCTCATTCATTCTTAGTGTTTAATTCCGCTTCTGTAGTGCGGTTACAACCTACTCTTGTGTTTCCTCAACAAGCTGCAAATAACACACACTTCTCACGATGTATAAATGACTGAGAAAAATCCATCCTAACGGCGAGTAAGTGTGTGTGTGGCTCAGGAGCTGGGGGGCGGGCGCCGGGCGCATCAGGAGGCCAGGATGCTCCTGCGGATGAAGTCTGTCCTCCGGCCCATGGCGCTGCCCGCGGGGATGCACTTCTTCTCCGAGGCCTCGCTCTCCGAGTCGCTCATCTCCACGTCCGGGGCGTAGCCGTCACTCTCGGTGTCCGACTTCAGCTTGCTCTTCGCCCTCTCCTTGGCGGGCCCGCGGCCCAAGCCCAGGTAGGGGTAGTCCGCGTGCGGGTGGCAGGCGCCCCCGGGCGCGGGGGCCTCCGGCGGCGGCCGCTCCCCCTTCTTTGGAATCCGGAAGCCCCCCCAGTTCTTCCCTGGGCTGGCGGGCGTGGTAGGCACTTTGACTGCGGTCTGGCTGTAGCTCCCCCGCATCAGGGAGCCATTGCACCTGGGCAACCCCTCTCTCCTCGCGCCCGGCGCCGACTGCCCCCCGGCAGGGGAGGCGGCGGCCCTCGCGGTGTCCAGATGCCGCTGGGACACGTCCGTGGACCTGAGAGGCTTGTGACTCTGTTTGAAAGGCCTGTCCTTCCCGTCCCCCTTCCCGGGGTCACAGTGGAAGCGGTGGTCCCTCCTGCTCCCGGGATCCGGCACCATCGCGCCATTTCTCTGCTGCGCGGACAGGAGGCGGGCGTCGGCCAAGGTCTTGTCCAAGCTCCGCAAGCTCTCGGGGAGCCCCGCCGCCTCCCGGTGCAGGGCCTGGGCCCTGCGCCCCGGGCTGCCCTGCAGCAGGGCTCGCGGATGTGGCTTCTTCAGGGAGCGACCCAGGGAGGTGCCCATCTGCTTCCGGAAGAAGGCCGAGTGCCATTTCAGGTCCTCGATCCTGGGGGCGTCGGGGCCCACCGAGGGGCTGTTGAACAGAAGCACGCTTTCCAGGGAGGCGGCGGAGCAGGACGAAGGCACACCTGCGGCGGACAAGCAGAGAAAGGGGGTTACCCTGGGAAGGGAACGCCCGCAGACAACACAGGGGCCCAGGCTGTAAGGCGCCGGTCCGAGGACAGGTGCACCTGCCTGGGAATCAGCACCCGAGTGCACACAACTAGCAGGCTGCCTTTTCTAGCAGCCAAAGTCACAGCAGTTTTCATGAAACAACCTCTTTTCAAGGAAGACAGTGGTCTTCAACACAAGAGCTGGCCTGATTTTCCCAGGGGAAAGGGCCCAAGGGGAGGTGGTGGTGGCCCGGGGCTGCCTCCCAGCAAGGCTGGGGCCAGGCTGCCGCTCTTCCGGCTCCTCCCCAGACGGGTGTGCGCTCTCACAGCGCTGTGATGAGGAGGAATGTGTGGAACTATGAAATGGGGAAGGGAAGGTGTTTAAAAGCATCCCAGACATACAGTGAATGTTTTTTAAATGTTTACGATTAGATGTAAAACCCATTGGTGGAATTAAACTGAAATGTAACCCAACATGAGATGAGTTAAATTGGTCTTTCTGAAACATTTTTTCATGCAAATCACAGTGAGAACTAAATTTCACATTACTCAGTAAAAGCCCACTTTTCCTGAAGTCTTGCTGTCCATCATCATCTGATAGGCACTCTGACCTTTTCTGTTTCCCTTGTTTTTAAAGCTAGTGATGAACTCCTCAGCTCACCTCACCACCCACTGAGTCCTAACCCCTCGGTCTGAGAAGCTGGGTGAGTTCATCAGAAGGGCCACGTTCCCGCCTGGGCCTCAGAGCGGGTTCGGGGTTCTGTCTCCTGTGGGGTGAGAACCAGCAGGAAAGTGGGTTCCACTGGAGTCCCAGGCCAGAGCGCCCGTAGGAACCTACTGCCGAGCAGACACGGACCAAGCGTGAAACGGAACAGAGCCAGCGACTCTAAACACAGAACTGCCACCACCCGGGGAGGGTGCGTATAACCTGCAGGCTTGGAAGTGCCTGCTTTCCCACGAATCAAAGGTCAGGGTCCGCCCGCAGGCCACACTGGTGGTTCTTTCTCACCTCCTGTGGGAAAACAGAGCAAAGGGGGGCGGGCGTTTTCTGACTCGGATTCTCTCTTACTTGACCTGAAATCGTGTCTCTCTAGGGTCTCCGACGCATGACCTCTACAGACAGCCTCTCCACTGGGGACACTCATCCAGCAGAACAGCCCTACCCGTCCTCGGAGTCACTCACAGCAGAGCCTGAACCATGGCCCCTGAATGACACGGGAAAGTCACGGGCGTCTGCACTGCGTCACTTGGAATCACATGTTGCGCAGGGCAGGAGAGGGGCTGGCAGAGGCAGCGCCCAACTGAGAGTCTAACACTGGAAAAGGAGGGACCAAGGCCCTGGGTGTGCCCTGCACCGGCGGTGGCTCCCGCAGGGACCACATGCTGCGCTCAGCCCTTCCCACTGGTGTGGTGGGGAGGGCCAACTGGGTTCCCTTTCCTGAAGGAGCAGCAGGACTTGAGTGGAGGGATGCATTACAGCTGTTACACAAACATCCTCACCTGGCTCAGGGTCTCAACCACTTTGCCAAGGAAAAGCCTCAGCCAGGAAATGCAGAGCTGCCGGCAACACCCGTGAAAAATGACTCAGAGAAATCAGATGCACATGCTCCTTACAGCTCATCTTCAGAGGTAATCTCCCTTTAAACACTTTAGCAAAAGTCACAGAAAGCCCCCAGCGCCCCCAGGCACAGCCTGCACTCAGCACTGCCCAGCTCCAACGCGGCTACAGACGGGGACCTGCCTGCTTCCTCAGAGGAAAAATCGTGCGAATAGTCAATGAAGAGACAGAAGTGCATTTTAAAGAATCTGAATTGAACTGCTGTTACTTATGACACCCTACTTAGGAAGTTTTATTTTGAAAGTTTGATGATATTAGCTTGATACATTCCTCGAGAAAAAAAAATCTAAGGTATTATTAATAAATTAATGCCATTAAAATTATGTATTACTTCAAAAATGTCACTTAATACTCCATAGGCTTTTTTCTCTTTGTTCCACTGACCAATTTACAGTAAGTCCTCACTTCACGCCGACAGGTTCAGCGACGTCCCGTGAAAGGGCACATGGGAAACCAACTTACCAGAGGCCAAATGACATAAACAAGGGTGGAGTTCCCATGGCATCTCCTCAAAGTTCTAATGAAATGACTTTGAGCAAAATTACGCGATGTGAGGACCTCTGTACCTCTGGTCACATTTATCTGGTTGGTTTGGGGCAGTGGTCGGCAAACCGCGGCTCGCAAGCCACATGCGGCTCTTTGGCCCCTTGAGTGTGGCTCTTCCGCAAAATACCACGTACAGGGAACGTTGTGGAGTGAAAGATGTAGTGTCGAGGATTGAGAAAGGTATGTTGAGATGATTGGACATATAGAGAGGATGAACGAAAGGAGATAGACGAAACAAGTATACGAGTGTTGGAAGGGGTCAACCTCAGCGAACGTACCTCAATCAGATTGAGGACGTTTTTAGCAAAGGCCAGCTTAGGAGTACCCTAATTAAGTTAACAACAATGTACCTACCTATACAGTTTAAGTTTAAAAAATTTGGCTCTCAAAATAAATTTCAATTGTTGTACTGTTGTTATTTGGCTCTGTTGACTAATGAGTTTGCCGACCACTGGTTTGGGGTAAATCAGAATTCGAATTTCAACACTATAGGGTGTAACAACACTATAGGGTGTAAATGTTTCCACGTGTCAGAATAATCTACAGCGAGCCAGCCATGACTCAGCACAATGCAAGTATTTCAAATGTTGCTGCTATAACTTTAAAGGGCAGACAGGCACAGAGATGAGACGAGACAAGCTCACCTAAGAGCTACCTGTGCCCCGAGTCCGTGATTCTGCCTGACCCACGCTCAGCACATCACCTTTTCTGAAAGCCTTCTACCCTGCTTCCCGGCACTGATGCGCACAGACCGACAGCGCCGGAAGGCAGCTTTGGTTCTGGACAACCTCTTCCATGGACCAACAGAGTCCCAGGGAGGTTACACACGGGCCCAACTGTGTGTGTGATTTCCAAGTAATTGCGGTGGTTTTTCCTTTTCCCCTTTGGTTAGCCCAGAGCAATGTAAAATCGATGGCACAAAATACATAAATACTTGGTGCTGAATCTCCAAAAGATGCCAATTCCACCTACACCAAAAAAAAGTCCACTGGGATGTTCTCTAACTGTAGACATATGCCTCGAGCACAGTCTTAGGATCCACTGAGCATGTGCTACAGGCAGGTGCCAGGCTGGGTAACCCCCCCATCTTTTTAGGTCTCCCCATGATGCTTTACATTGATCAAGTGCTTTGCAATATAGAAGTTACACTTTCATTTGAGCCTTACAACAGTTCCCGGGCAGTAGCTGGAGAGACCGTCCTCAAGTTACATATGAGGAAATGGGGCGGGGGGAAAACTGGAGACGTGCTTGTTTGGCCCGGACGTAGAGGATAAAAGATGCGACCCGTATTTGAGGCCAAATCCTTAGCCCTTTCCCCTGTACCCATGCCTCAGATGCTTAAAGGTTTTCTTTACGTATGCAAGTCTGTGCTTCTGAGGTTATCCTGTCGGATACAAGGAAATGAAAGGAACTACTCTTGCTTTCCTCAGCAGAGCGTTAGGCGTGCAGCCCCACCTGCCGCCGGAGCTGCGAGGCTGATGCATACCTGAAACTCTTTCTTGCTCCAAGAGCTTAGTGTAAAGATTGAATATCTGTTCCTGGACTTTGCACACAGATCGCTTAATCTTTTCCCTGCGGGTCACCATGTAAGTGAGGTTCCGAACCTAGAATGTAGAGAATAAAGATTCTAAGTAAGCAATGCATTGTAACAGTACTTAGGTGGGTGTTTTGTTGTTGTTTTTTACCTGAGAGGAAATTGCCCTACTAGGGCCTTGAGTGACATCTGAAATCAAAATGTACTTTAAATATGTTATCCACTCTCTTATCTCGTTGGGGCTGCTAACAAGGATTCCACACATACCCCTCCACGCAGGATGAGATGGTGGGAGGAGCACCTACAGGATCCCACAAAAGTCCCACAGCCTCCACCACACCCAGCCTTAGACTCATCCCAGCAGAGAGAGGGCCGCTGGGGCCCAGTTGGGACCAGCTATGTCTCTCCCAAGGACCCGCCCCAGCACCTGCAGGTGAAAAGCTTTAGCGAGGTCAGAGCCCCTGAGCTGCACTTCACCCAGCACCTTCCGAAGGGGAAGTAAGGTCAACACGGGATCAAGGGCAATCAGAAGAGAAACCCACCCCCTGCACAAGGCTCACCAGAAGACCCAGTGGTCTCCAAGAACCCACGTGAATGTCTCGGTCAGCTGAGCACTGCACCACCTGCAGCTCACAGGCAGCTGATGCTCACAGAACATGCCGTCCATGCTGTCTGAGTCACACTTGAGACATGGACGCTGCCCTCTTCCTGACTCATTTGTACGGAACTGAAAAGACCCAAGTGCTCACAGTTCCACTCTGTACCTGACGTTCGACCCCCGGGGATCACGTGCACACGCTCGAAACTAACCAATATAGACTCAGTCCTAAGACACCTGGGATCAGTCAACACAGAAACAAAACTTAAAGGATTCGTCAATCAACCCCCTTAAATCCTTCAGTCCTAAAACCTATTGGTAAACCTGACCAGACTCCGTGGGCCTGAACGCACAGATCTCAAAACACAGCAGAGCAGACAAGATGTCCCCAATCGTCCGGGCAGTGGCTCCTGTTCCCCATGGGCTCCCAACTCTCCTAAAAACCCTTTCCTTATGCTTGGCAATCCCTTCCCCCGCTGCCTGCCTTGAAACATAAGAGGTCAAAGGTCCTTCGCCATTGGCAGTGAGGATGAGGACCAGCCATACACACAGGACTGCACCAGCTTCTGCAGACACCGCCCCTCTGTCTTCAGTCTGTCCTGAGCCCCAAGGATTCCCGTTGGGTTCAAGGTGAGAGGACATGAGACTCTCTCCTTGCAGAGTCTCATGCAGGAGCTCGCTGGCTCCTGCATTTACATCCATGTGCAACATATTTAGCATCTTCCTAACACTTCTTCACTGAAAAAGAATATAAATCTAACATTAAAGACCTGAGAAGAAAGCCTCGCTCCCTGTCCCTGAGTAAACATTTTGGTTCTTCATCTCACAGGATAAGACCCCCAGGCCAGGAAGTAGGTGTCCTTTATTAAAAGCCTGGCCAACTGGGGACAGAGGTGGCTAACAGGCTATTCTCGTTCATGAGCATTCTTCCACCCAGGGAGGACTAGAGTGGGAGCTCAAAGGGAAAGAGGCAAGACCTAGATAGAGGTCACAGATTCAAAACCTTTGGAAAACAAACAGGAGAATCTGGCCTCCGGAAATGGGAATTAATTCTGGCTCTAGTCTAGGGATAGGTCGTTCTTCTGTTCCAGCTGAATGTACAGCAGATACACATCTCTCCCTTGAAATTATCCACAGAAACAGAGGCCCCGGAGCCAGAGGCCAGGACGGTATATATTATTCAAATTTAATTTCAGGGGCTTCAGCCACTCCCCAGGGAAGGCCTCAACCTGGCTGCTAATTGGGAAATCCCCACTTCTCTCCCCCACGACCTCTGATGAGAAACATCCAACTAGAACCCCAAAAGGCAAAGGCCCGGGTTCACTGTGAGTTGGAACGAATCGGCCCCTGAAGAGCCCAGGCCTGGCTGTTTAGAAGAGTGAGCACCCTAAACGGTACCCCCTGGTGCACACACACACTCCTCACAGGACAAGGGCATGAGCAGCCCCCGTGTGTAGAGCTGAAAGGAGGCTCTGCCCTGAAAACAGTCCCTGCCTGGCCCTTCCTACACACTCCCCACAAACAGGCCAGCAAGGAGGTACCCCAAAACACCAGCTCACGGTGCACCCTCACACCACGTGACACCTGAGTCAGGCTTTCATCAAATGCAGCATTTGCCGGCCCTGGCAGGGTAGCTCAGATGGTTAGAGCATCACCCCGATTCGCCAAGGTTGCAGGTTCAATCCCGTCATGGCACATATAAGAATCAACCAATGAATGCGTGAAGTGGGACAAATCGATTATTTTTCTCTCTCTCTAAAATCAATCTAAATATGTATATGTTTCCCTACACAGAATGCTGCTCCCCCAACCCCAGAATTCCTGGAGTCAGAAGTGGGGTCCAAAAATTGGCATTTCAGGTTTCCAGGTAATGCTGCCGGCTGGGGACCTCTCCGAGAACTGCTGTCCTCAGGAATCCAAGAGTGCTTTCAGGGTTTTCTTGAATCCCAAGCACTGCTGGCCACACTAAAGCTTAAGGTACCTTCTGTTCAGGGACAATGGTAGCTCGTTTCACAGGTGGCCGTGCCACTGGGCACTGAGTGGACAAGCCGCAGGACCGGCCCCTCTGGATGCCTCGCCTGACGTAGAGGCAGCGTGTCCATCCCAGCAGGCACTCAGCTGCCTCCCGCAGCAAACCACATTGAGGGGGAAGAGTCCCATGGGAGGTGAGGCCTGGGGGACTTGCCGTCACCAGCCAGCACTCATCAGCAATCACGTCTTCTTAAAGGTGTGGGTTCCCAGCCCCTCCTGGAAGCCATCCCTGTCCTTCCTGGTCCAGAACTGGTACCAGGTGTGCAATGCCTCAGGGTGTGTCTTTGCAGGAAACAGCAGTTGCCATTATCATTCGTCAGCTGTTTGCATTTCTAATGAAGGCTGCTCATGGGTCAGTTTGGGACTGACCACGGACCCTGATTGTCCCGGGCGGTACCTGATTCTGTGTGCCTGCTAGGATGTCCTACTGTGTGAAGTAGGCAGAACAAAGAGAGCATACGTTTATGACTTGTTCTGATGAGCCTTTGGCCTGATACACTTCTTGTTTATAATCACAAAGACCCGAGGGACTCTGGGGCACGGCAAAGGTTTAATCTTCTAAAGCCCCACCATCACAGGCCTCATGGCACATTTTGGAAAACGTATTTTTCATTAAGCCCGTTTTAAACTGACACTAAATACCCTAAAATCTGTTAAGCTCTTTATTAAAGTAAATGTAAGTAATGCCACACACACACACAGAAATCCTGATTTATTCCCTGTTTCTCATACATAATTGGTATCATTCTACTTAAAAAGCAACAGTGATGACTCCAAAAAGATGTTTAGAATTTAATTATAAGTCCATGTTAATCTGAGTAACTTAAGCACAGAAAAGAGTTAGTACACCACAAACATTTTCTACACTTTTATTTTGTGGTGATTGTGAGACAAACACAGTCCAAACATCACACTTCTCGTCCTCCCTCCTGAGGACTCCCTGACTCCGGGCTCGTGCGCCCAGGACAGCGGTCGTCACGTGCTGGCCCCTCGCCAGAGTTCCAGCTTACCCCTCTGAATCCCTTTCTCCTCTTAACAAAAACGCCACACATCCGTGTGGCCGGAGGCGAGGTCTTCTGCACTCACCACCAGGGGGCGTGTGGGAGCATGAAAGCCTCAGCCCTCCTCCCCCCTGCTGGCCTCGCCTGACCCCAATCCTACCCTGCTCCGGGAAGGGGTGTCACAGCTGGCCCTGGGTCCTGTGCAGACAAGGTCTCCAGTGAACACGTAAAAACACTTGCACGCCGATGCCACCTCTCCCAGAGCCGTACAGGTCCCTCTGAGAGATCTGCATCTTCTGGTTCAACACTTCCATTTGCCCTATGCTTAGACTCTCATTTCCAATCATCCGAGGCAGCCTCTCCCAGGCAGGTGGGTCCCTTCCCGCTGAGCTCAGGGAGGTGCGTTAACTGTTTCAGGCCAGGAGCCGAGTCCAGCCGAGTCCAGCTGTGCGCTAATGAATTTAATCAGTCGGGAGCTGCCGCAGAAGGTGCTCTAAGACCCATCTCCAATTAGCAAGCCTCAGTCAGAAACTACCTACCGGGAGCAGGAGGCTCTGGGGGGAGAGCCTCTCCTAATTACACCTGTGCAGGAAGGGAAGTCCACCTGGGACTCCCCAGGTCACGGGTGGAGGCACAAAGCAGCAACAGCTGAAGGAAGCGGCAGTGGCCCCAGGCAGCCCACAGCCGCCTCACACAGCAATGCGCAGTGATACTGTGCGTGCTGAGCAGGACGGGACCCCCACAACCACACATGACACACCACAGACACACGTGACACAGACACACATGCACACGTGATAGACACACAGCCTCAGGGATGACGTAGCACCTCATTGCCAGGAGGACCTGTGGCAGACGCGCGTGTGTCAGTGCTCGCACACACGCCAGCACCCACAACCTGCCCTGCCCCTCAGCACGGGACGCCCATGAGCCAGCCAGGAATAGGGGGCAGAGGCAGCGCCCCACTCTCCTCAGAGCCACCCTGACCAGCACCCGGTGTGTCCCAGGCTGATCGAGAGATCTTAGCCCCCTGCCCGCCCCACCATTAGGCAAGTCCGTTCTAACTTGTTTTCTAACCGTTTGCAAACAATTCTGGGTCAATCCCTTGGTCGTTTTCCTGGGGCTCAGATCTTTCTAGCTCTAGAATGGAGGGAAAACACACCCCACTTGATCTTGCAGAAGAACAATAAGGATTAATGGGGAAATATTTAAAAGTAAATCACAGAGAAGCCCCTGTGCGAGCTTCCCAGCCCAGGGACACTAAACGGACACACCCTCATGCTGCAGTGTGTACGGGGTCTGAGCGAGTGACCGGCCGCCTCGCTGGCTCTGCGCAAGCGTGGCCTCTGAGCAGTCCTCTTCTCTAAGTCACTACAAGGTGTCAGTGTCAATCATTACCCTCTCCAGGTCCTGCCGCAGGTGCGTGAACAGCTGCAGCCTCCTAAACAAGACATCCTGCTCCCGCTTCGCTAGATTGTCCTCTTCGTCTCTCTTTGGGGTGATGAGGGGCTTGTTGAAGTTGACCTTCCTCTTCAGCTTCCAGTACTGGTACAGGAAGTCCACCACTTCCTCCGGCAGCCGCAGGGCCCTGGCGACGTCCAGCAGGTTGACGAAGGTGTAGAAGGCGTCTTCCAGCTGCTGCAGCTTCTGCTTCCGGACACTCACCCGGTGGGCCTCCTCCTGCTTCTGCTCCAGGCTGGCGAAGGGCTCCAGCGGGCTCCGGGGGGAGCACTCGGGCCCCCCGTTCTCCTGAGCGGCCCCCGCCGCGAGGCTCCCCTCGGCTTTCCTGTGGGAGCTGTGCTTCGGGCAGTAGGACTTGAACTTGACCTCATCGTTCTCCGCCAAGATGGTCTTCATCTCCAGGCCCCGGTCGAAAGCGCAGGTCACGTGGAAGGCCGTGCGGCAGTTCTTCACGGAGCACTGGTGAGGACAAGAAGGAAGACGGTCACGCAGGACAGTGCTGAAGCCCCTCGGTGCCGGGCACCCCAACACACAGCAGAGCTGCGCCCAGCGAGGCCGTGACAAAGCCCCCCAAGTTAGCCCTGGCACACTAACCCAGTGGCATTTTAAATAAGGCTTGAGAGTTCAGGAAACTTCAGATGGAAGGTTTCGTGAACCAACCCTAACTGTCAGACAGGCCCCTGTGGCCCATGGTCTGGGACAGACCGCCTGCACGAGGCCGTGTGGCCGGAGCGGGGCTGGCACTGACGCTGCACGCAAAAGAGCATGTGCTCAACTAGCAGAGGGCACGCGGAAGCACTGATGTGCTTTTTCTTTGGATCTGAGCTCTTCACTGTTTACATAAAAGGCCGGGATGTCAGGAACCTCCTTGGGAGGAGGGACAACTAGTCGGAGGTTTTCTGGGAACCTGAATGCTCGCTCTCACCCCGGCCAGCAGAGCCCAGCACCAGCGGGACATTCCCTCCAAGCCTGCCACTCAGGATGAGGCAGGTGAATGCAAACTCCTGAAGAGAAAAAAGCAGGAGACAAAGAGAGCCCAGCCCAGGGAGGTCAGGACGAGTCTCCACACCCACAAGGGACCCTCGCCCGATGCTTCAAGGGCAGTGGGAGTGGCACTAGGCCACATGCGCCCTGCCTGGCAGAGCTGGCTGCTCCCAGCGGCCCCTGACCCCCCGGGTCAGGAGGTCATCTGGGAGTCTCCCGCCCGCCCCAGCATCGGGGCTACAATCTGCAGCTCAGAGGGCTGGCGGCCTGGCAGGAGCACAGCAAATAAGGTCTCCCATCTGACCTCACTGGGTGAACCCCTGGGAGAGGCTGCTAGTGGTGACTGAAGCCAGTCCCTTAAAAGCAACTGTGTCGTGTGAAGCCAAGTGACCTGGGCTCGCCAGGGCTGAGGGAGTGCCCCGGGCCAGCTGAAAAGCTTAATGACACTCAGCAGCCGAAATCCATGACCACGGAGGGCAGAGGATGGAGCTGGGGCTTTGCTCCCATCACTGCAGTATGTAACAGGTCGTGACTCACTGCCACTCAGGACTTCTCCCGTTATTATACAGTCCCTTACCCACAAGTACGGAAAATCCAGCTCCCTTCACCATTCCCTCCTCACCAACACTTGCACCAAAGAAGAGAAATCTGTAATTTTACCTATAAATAACCTCAATTCCCAGGAACGTGTGAAATCTGCAGGACACACACACACACACACACACACAAACACACACACCTGGCCGCCACCATCAGAGCATGGAGGAGGGCTCCTCCCTTTAGCGCGCAGCCCAGGGGGTGGGAATGGGCTCGGATGCCGGAGACACGGTCTGGGTTTGGCTCGCACTACACTTAACCCAGGCGCTCGGCCGCCAGGAGGAAGGCGCTGCAGCGGAGTATTTACACAGGACTTTGTAAAGGCGCCAAACAGCCTTCCTTTGGGTTTTCCGATTCAGGTTGACTCAGCAAACAGATGTTAGAGAACCATAAACCACAGCCTCCACAGCTGCAGACATTCCAGGGAGGAATTCTTTAATAACATCAGCCCATTCTGTGCAGATATGAAAAATCACCAGCCTTCCTTGGCCTCTTCTCTTTCAAATGAATGTTCTGGGAAAAGAGGTCAACGGCCACAAAAATCATCTGATTGTCTTTCTTCAAAAGAGAAACAGAGACCCTGCTCGCCCACCTCCTGTGAGGACCAGGACGGGTGCTGGGGAAGGCAGATACTCAGCCTCCGGAGACACACGGCAGGTAACTGGCAAGGAAAGGATTTCCACCTTCCTGGCTCTGCAACGCTTGTTCCTGCAAGAGTTCACACACGCACTCACACACACGCACGCGCACACCTCTGATGCGTTCTTTTTAAATTCAAGGCTCTTGCCATGTGTTCGTTTTAAGCAGATTCTATTCGAATACAAAACTCTGCACTGCTTTCAAGGTCCGCAACCCGATCCCACCAGCTGTCTCCGGCCTCACCCTCTGAACATTTCTGTTCCACTCTGGATTCTCGAACACCAGTATATAATCAGAAATTCTTAAAACCACCAGTCCGTGGGTACCTTAATGAAAGAATATTTATCGGCCATGTACAGATCGGTTTTGCCAAATGAGGTCATTTTCTTAAAACCCATGGCTGGCAGCTGGACCAAGTTCCTGGAGCATGTGCCTGCTCAGAGGGTGACGGGGACCGAGAGGGAGGCCGAGGAGGAGCCATGGCCCTGAGCTGGCACCCGGCCTTCTGGGCCACCGTCAGCGACACGCGGCGTTTGCAGACGTGGGGACAGCACTGTAGGCCTCGAGTCGCGACTATCTGGAGATGCCAATAATGTGAGGCCCAGAAGTTAACTTCAAGTAGTTTCAGACAACATGAAAAAGAACAGCATGCCTGTATATTCTCTCCTTAACTCTATCTACCTGAAGATTTTCTACACTTGTCTGTGGGCGGACAGAGAAGAAGCAGGCAAGGCTTACATAACAGCGACAGTGCGCGCACGGTGCATGGAGAGCCAGACAGCCAGGCTGTGTTCGGGGCAGCACCTTGTGGTGCCCCTCATCAGCTATGCCAGGCTGCTGCCACGTCCCACCTGAGACAGGACACCCTGCGCACCTGGGCAATCAGTGTCAGGGCAGCCGGAGGTGGGTCACCTGTCAGCCCGCAAACAGGAAGAGGGTGGCCCACCCTCCAGTGTCAAGGCTGGCTCTTCCCCGGAGGCGTCTGCCAGGCCGGGAGCAGGGAGGACAAACTGACCGTCCTCGCAGCTCAGGCAGAGCCCGAGTGGCCCTGTGAAGGCCAAACCGGCATTCTGCTTACACAGAACACAATCTGCCCACAACACAGGATCAGACCACGCTGGAGCCAGTCCTAGTCTCCCCATAAGAGTGAGACCCCCATCCTGCTTCCTGAATTCACCTTCAATCTCCAGAGTTCACAGACCCCCACCCCCCCACACACACACACCCAATCCTGCTCCCTGCGACACAGGGAAGAAAATGAAGCCGCTGGGACTAGGCCATACCTGTATGGAGGCCCCAAACTTCTCGTTGCAGAGGCTACACACCAGCGCCCACCGACTGCTGGGGATGTGAGACACCTTCGTGATGGGCTCCATCTTCTCGGGGCTGCCAATGCTCACCTAGGGCCCAAGAAACAGCGAGAGTGCGCCCAAGGCCGTGAGACCGACCCAGGCTGAACACGGGTGGCAGAAACTGGAAGATGTGCTACCCTCCCGTGCCCTCCCACCAGACAGGGGCAAGGGGCACTCGGCCTCCTAGGAGGGGCACACCCCTAACTTTAACGCATCAGCACAGCTCAGGGGACAGTTCGGGGACAGGAGAGCCCGGAGCCCAGGGTCCATTCCCTCCACCCTGAGCGTCTGGGAGTCATGTGACGCAGACGTGCCGGGTCCCAGAACACTCAGATAACCGAGTGTGCACTGCTCACCTGAGCCTGAGGCGCCACCACAGCTCTGGCCCACCTGCAGCGGTCAGGGCTGAAGGTGGAGCGCGTCTACACAGACTGACTTAGGGTCTGTCTCGCTAAAGAAAACCATCCTCTTCAAACCGGAAAGGTTACTACACAGTGGAAAACTACCAAGACACACAGCTCTCCTTGGCACGGGGCCTGGGTCACCGAACCGGGTCCCTGTTAATAGCAAACCACGAGGCCCCGACCAGGACCTGAGGCATGAAGCCGCAACCCCAACCGTCCCCAGATAATTTTCCTCAGGAGGGAAATGCACCAAGAATCATACACCAAAAACGCTGAAATTTGAATCGAAAATGATATTCTCCACAGTGAACCATGCAAATTAAATTAGTCAAGGTCTGGGACTGGAAATAAATTACACCAGACCTGAAATTAAAAAGGTTGAGGCTAAGGGAGAATTCCAATAAAAATCACAGAAATGTGACCTAGAGCAGTGGCTCCTAAACATGGTGGCATCCCGTGGACCGTCGCCAGGCGCAGTCCTGGGGGAAGGGCTCGGCGCCCAGGCCACAGCCGAGAAGCTACAGGTCTGCTCCTGGGGCCCGTGTCCCAGTGGGAGGTTAGCTGTGACGGACAGCTGAATGGAAGCCTGAACACCATCCTACGCACTGCTGCCTGGTGAATATTTCCACAAGTGTGCACCCCGCAGCTAGAGGGAGGTGCGCGGGATTCAGGTGAAGGGGGGGAAACGGACAGCACTTAAAAGGTGTCCTTTTCCTCATCAGCTACAACATGGCCCATTTGTGACCGGCTCCCTGCTCTGCCCCAGCTAAAAGCCAGAACCTCCTGTAAGACCACACGTACCTCGGGGATCCACAGAGCACAGCTGACGTGGACCCACTTGGTCCCGCTGCGGGTGGGCTTCATGGCTCCGCCTTTCTTGGGGCACAGCAAGCACTTGGGCTGCACCCCCAGGGCACAGGTCCGGCACAGCCAGCTGCCCTCGGGGACCTTGAGGATTCCATAGCAGGCCTGTAAGGCACAGCGCCCCGAGGAAAAGAGGAAAGAGAGAAAGTAAAGGATTCATTTTTCCCGTTATATCTGTTACTTTTTAAAACACCCAGAAGGATTTTAGCAGGACAAGCGGCGGAACAGAAGCACTCCGGTGCCCACCTCACAGGGACCCTCTCCCTTGAGGTAAAAGGCAGCCGGGAGGTGCGTGACGTCTGTGGGTCCAATGCGACCTGCTCACCACCAGGTGACTGGGAACACGCCGAGGACAGAAAGGTGTGCAGCGCGTCTGCTCTGCTGTGTGGCTGGGGACACCACGGGCCACCCAACTCCACACTGAGCCGCGGTCCGCACGGCGGGGCTCGGGGTTCGAGCGGGGAAGCTGGCCCTGCTTCCCGGTGTGGGCGGGACTCAAAGGGAGAAGACAACACAGGGCACCGAGAGCCTCCCACAGCTCTGAAACGCGGCGGCAACCACACCCCAGCTGAGGAGCGGCCTCGCTCCCCAGGCTCAGACGCTGCCAACCGGATCCCAACACTCTCCCACGGGAACCCCCAGGCCCAGAAAGGGGCGACTTTCTAGTCCGAGAGGATTTGGTCCTTTTAATTGATACTTAGAGCAAAACCTGTCCTGCACAAGAAGGCCAAACTGCAGAAATCAAGCTTTTACAAGCAAAGTCGCTATGATGGCTCAAAGCACGAAAAGGCAACGTGTTAAGTAAGTGAGGAAACAAAACCATGATGGTAGCAGGTTCACAGCCTTCGAAACACCAACTGCAAGCCGCTGTCCTCAGATGAACTGCGAGTCAGGAAGTCGGGAGACAGGCACGGGCTCCAGCCCTCCAGACAGGAAAGCAGCCCAGTGCCGTCTGAGAGCACAGGACGCAGAAAGGAAACCGCAGGGATGAGAGCGGGCGGAGTGAGCAGCCAGGCAGAGCTCAGGGCGCGATGTCAGCGCCGTGAATGAGCCACTGTCAACACAGACGGACGGGAAACAACTTTAAATAGAGCTAAATGACTCTAGTACGGTTTCAAACACCCCAAGGTTTCAAACTGTCAGGCATCCTAGAGAAAGTCACAATTGAAAAGATCATTTTTTTTTTTTACTAGAAAAGCAAGTCTAAACAAAATTAAAAGATTAAATAAAATATGCCTTTAAGTCAAGCCCTGAAGAACGTCTCAAAAGGAAAATGAACCACAAGGAAATGCTAAGGAAAGACACAATGTGGTTATGGCAGGAGGAACAAGACCAAGCAGAAGGGTCGCTGGGGGCCTGGACACCCCAACTTCCAGCTCCAATGGCCACTGACCCACAGGGGCCCTGAGCAGCCCCCTGACATCAGTTACTTATCTATGAAACAGGAGGTTTGAGAGCTTCCACGCAGAACCCTTTTTTTCAAACAAACTGTTTCTCAGGGGCAAAATAAGCAAAATAGGAGGAAAAAAAACTCTGAAAAGTCATCCAAGTTAACAGCACCAGCAACAAAAAACAACTGTGGTAGTCACGGTGTCACAATCTGTCACAGCGAAACCCTGCAGGGATTCTCCATCATCCCAAGGAAGCGTCCTCGACAACGGGAAACCCAGGCTGCGAGGCGGGCTCCAGTGACTGCAGCGAGAGTCTGTGTGTCGCTCTCTCAGGACGAGCCGGGCGGGACCACGGCAGCCAGGTCTCCAGGCAGAGTGGAGGCCAAGAGGCAGGCACATCGTACAGAAAAGGATAATCCAACAAAGTCCCAGAGCAAACCTGACTCTTCTCCCACGAAGGTCCCCGAGCAACCTCCACAAACGTCTAAGTGAGTTGATGTCGGCATAAACAGGTGAATTCACAGAAAGGACCTCAGGGTAGTCCTTTAAATCCTAACAGTGACTGTGAACGTGAGTCCCCACAGAAATCTGAGTCGCTTCATTATTGCGTTAAAAATAAACGAGAGGTGAGAAAGACGGAGATTGTCCCAGTGTCACCCTTACTGACGCCTGCGGATTGCTTTTCACAGAAGACGGCGAGCCACCACCAAGTCCTATTGGGATCAATCAGGGAGGACAGGAAATCCATTTCCAGAAAAGGGAACTCCTTCCTCTTCTTAACAGCTCAGTGTACACACTAACACATTTGCAAGTGTCATGGGTTAAACTGTATCCCAAAAGGAGATGTCACAGTCCTGACCCAGTACCTCGGAATGCAGCCTTATTTGGAAACAGGGTCCCTGCAGATGTGGTCAGTTAGGATGAGGTCACCCTGGGGGAGGGTGGGCCTCGAATTCCATGGGACAGGGAACCCTATAAGAAGATGTCAGGTGTGAAGACACCCACAGGAGGGCACCATATGGCGAAGGCAGAGACACAGCTGTGCAACTGCACGTCCAGGAGCACCAACGACGGCCAGCAAAGCACACGACACTGGGAGAGGGGGAGAGGCGGGGAAAGATCCTCGGGTAATGGGCCCTGCCCGCAACCGGCCCTGCCCGTACCCAGCCCTGCCCGCACCTTGCTTTCACACTTCTAGTCTCCAGAACAGCCAGACAGGCTTCTGTTTTTAAGCCACGCAGTTTGTGGGACTTCGTCATGGCAGTCGGAGGGAACCGATCCAGCTAACTAACCACCTTTTCAAGGTTTCTCAGTGTTCTTAATACCTGACTCAGGTGCTGGCGCCGGGCAGAGGGCGCATATATTCTTTTTAAGTAAACCTGACTTCCATGGGCAGGACTAAGAACATGTAAAGGAGAGAGAGTCTCACAAAGGAGTCTATGCTTCTGGTTGTAAAAGTATCGAGAAATACTTCAAACACTGAGAACCGCTTAGGGACAGTGAGATGTCAGGACCCATTTCTTAACTCCCTCGGGGAAGCAGGAAAACGGCCCTGTCCGGAGGGAGACCCGGTCTCTCTGGGTGCCCTGGTGGCAGACGGGCTCAGGCCCGGTGCTTCTGCCTGGGCCTCGCTGCCCACATACCTGGTGCACGCAGATGTTGCATTTGTCACAGAACACCATCTCGTTGCCGTCCTCACCGTCGGGCGACTGGCAGACGTCACACACAACGTCCTCGTCGTACTCGATGCCCAGACCCTCTTCCGTCTCGATGGCGTGGTTCATGTTGTCGGAGCAGCGCTGCTCAAACTCCTCCAGGACCCTCTCCATGGTGCCCTCGTCCAGCTCCGGCATGCCTGGGGGCGCAGAGCCCAGCTCAGTAACCCCCAGCCACAGGCATCGCCAGGCATCCGTTTACATATGTGAGTAATTTGCAGTGAATAAGTGATATTATAAGTAAAGCCATCCTGAGTGTCACACACATTTTCCATTGCATGGCCTCAGACCCTTCCACGGGAGACGCTGTGTTTTAAGTACAAAACACAAGATAAACCCCAAAAGGGACCGAGGATGTTAACTGCACTGTCGTTCAACTGCCACTTCATTACAGTGTTATACATAAACGGTCATGGGAGTGACCTGATCCGTGCTGTGGCCTGGGTGTTTGTTTGAGAACTTTCCTTCCTTACTACTTGTGACGGTGCCCTGACAAGATTCCCCCGTGAGCACTGGATGCTTTTACCCGGTTCATCCCTCTTCACCCTCTGAACTGACTACATTGAGAGGCACAGTTCATCAGACACGAGAGGCCAAAACACAAGGACTGTCGGAAGCCTAGGAGACAGCTCATTGTGAATCAAATAAACTGCATTCTGAGGCAAGAAGGATCAAAAATACATCTCCAGTGGTTCTCGTGGTTATAGCCAGCGGTGGGATGAGACTTCTATTTTCTTCCATGTGTGGATATAGTCCAAACTCCCTACAATGAAGATACTCATGCAGACAGAAAAAAATAGGCTGCAAATACTATCCAGACAGAACACCAAAGTGGCAAGAAACAACAGAAATGTCACTAGAGCCAACAACGACTTCTGTGCACTATCGCAAGTTTAAAACCATCAAATTAACACTCCTTGGGTTTTTTAAAAAATCTGAGAACCACCACAATAGAGCTGACAGTGTGATAAGCCCTAAACACTTATTCAAAAAAGCAGCACCAGCCATCGCAAACCCTGGTTAACTCTGTGACAGCCTCTGCGTGGCCAGGTGCTCCTAGTCTGTAGTTCTAAAAACACCACTGGTCTTGAAAACACAATCCTGTGCCCTGTAATTAATTCTTACCATTAAAAAGACCAATAAAAGGATGTGTCCAGTTTATGTTACACAGCTGCCTACGTACCGGGCACTTCCTTCCGACTGAGGAGTCAGCCCAGGACTCATCACTAAACCACTTCAAAGGCACCAGTGGCTCTGGCTGTACCCTGTGCCTAACACAGGCCACTGGTCAGTCAAGCGCACCTGGTCTCTACAAAAAAGCTATAAAGCAGGCCGTAGGTGGATGAAGCTGAGGCAGCATTCACCTCCAAGAGAGCTCTGAGAAGACTTCACAGTCTTGCTCATCAGGTCACCTCGAGAGACCCTCAGCAATCAGAAGTGCGGAGGGAAACCCGCATGCCACCCGGTCTCCACCCTGGAGATGCAGTGAGTGTGGCGCAGATGCTCCGCCCGCCTCACGCAGAAAACGAGCAAACTCAGGGAAAAGAGACAGCTGAGCAGGGCTGGGCACCAGGGAGGGGCAGGGCTCCTGGAAGGGCGGGGCTCCGGAGAGGACAGATCGCTGGGGAAAGAGGAGGCGGGAACTCCAGCTTAGGAGCAGGACCTGGTGAGGAGGCATCGCTGTGGGGTCTGGAAGGGAGCTGGGCTGGAGTGGACTCAGTGGCGGGGGCAGCGATCTGAACTGCACCACTGGGAAAGGAGTGCCGGCCCTCTGTGGTCCAGGGACAGTCGCTTAGTTTCTCTGGCTTCCGTGCTCGTGAGGTACATACGAGCAGGGCAGGGCGGGAACCCTGCCTCCACGGCCAGTGGGAAGGCCCCTCACTGGCCCGGTCCCAGAGTCCATCTCAACGGACAGCGCTGGTTACAAACAGTAGCACGGGCCTCACCCATCTCCTTGAACTCCTCGTTGGTCAGCTCCAGCCATGCCGCGTCCATGTCATTGAGGTCATACCGACACACGCCATCGGCCAGCGCACGGATGTCCACGTAGCCCAGCTCCGGGGGCTCGGAGCCTGAAGAGACGATGTATTTCTTGGGCCTGATGAACATGAGTGACTTCTCTTCCGACACGACCCTAGTTAACAGCAAACACGAGGCAGCCGGGTCATCCTTTCTGCCACAGACCAGCCAGGCTGTGCAAGGCCCCAGGGGAGTCTCCACCGCCACCCAAAACCCAGGTCATCGCCAGACTAACAGGCTTAAAGTCCTGCCGTCACTGCTAATAACACTAAGGAGTCCTTAACACACCCAATGGGAAACACATCCCAGCGCAAACCCTGCAGAAGTCTTCAAAACCAGCTCCTTCCACTCGGCTTCCCCGACACCCGTCCCCACCCCACCCACAGCGGCAGGTGCTGTGGCCGCTTAGGTGCCCGGCGTTGCCCATTCGAGCCCTTTCCTCCAACCAGAACCACCCAGCCTGCTGGATGCCAAGCACTGGGTTCTCAAGAACATCGAGGAGCAAGAGCAGCCACAGCTGATGCTGGGGAACCACGGGGAGAAACGCCCTCTGTCTGACCTTAAAAATAAACCAGACCTCAGCCATTACTCAGTGGCCCAAGAACCAGAGTGAGCCCAGCTGGGGCCTCTCCCAACATCCCAGGGTAAAGATCCACGCTCCCTCTCCTCCTTACCCTACCCTCTGCCCCCACCTAACACCTGAAGCAGCCTCATCCACCACGCCCCCCTCGAAGGCTGTGATGGCACGTGAGACTATGAGACCACCCCGACTGGGAGTCCACACAGCCCTCCACATCTGTTTAGCAGTTTGCGTGAACATCAAGTTGTCCAACACTTTGAAGGTGTCAAAGTTTCATCATCACCGTTATCATTACAAAAGTGATTTTATCTACAGGACACTGAGATGGGCTAACTGGACAGTTATTTTTCCTCCTCAACCAAGAGCAGGCTTTGGTTCAGCTGAAAATGTCCATAGGCTGTGTTGTGGGCTCCCAAATGTAGTGAAAAAGTTGGTGAAAAACTCCCAGCTTGGGGATTGCGGGGCTGGTGTCGCAAACACATTGCTCATCCCGAGAGCCCAGTGACGGGCCCGCCCACAGGCCAGGAGTCCGGCCTGTGGAGGCCGCCCCACCCATCATCTAATCCCTCTCCTCCAACCAGAACCACCCAGCATCTAAACCTGCAGATCTAGGGGGACATTTGTCGCAGAGATCCCGAAGAGCAATGATCAAACGCGATCATCTAAAGTGCCTGGAGAGACACAGAGTGGGCGAGGGTTAGGGTTAGGGTTAGGCGAGCTCCGTCCACCCTCGGGGATGGTGAGGATGCAACAGCAGAGAAGCCCGGCGCCAGCTGAGCACAGGGCATTCCCTCCTCTCTCCCCGCCGGCAGCCCAGGGTCGGGGGAGCTGGATGGGAGGACAAGAGCAAACCGGCTGCAGCTTCTAGCTAAGCTGAGTCACTGAGGACCCGACCCTCAGGGGGGAAAGTGGTTTGTAAGTCAGTCGAGACAAAGCCCCACAAGAAGAACTGGGCAAAGTCAATCCATAGGAGACCTCACCTAATCCATTCATCTCCCCAAACTCCCCTCCACATACCTAACCTGGCTACCCCACCTGTCCTCCTCCAAAGGGGGAGTGGCCACCATGGGACCAGGAAGCCACCTTTCCCCGGGCCCAGCAGAGCTGCTTTGCAGCGTGAATGTGACCAAGCGTGGCGATGCAAGTGCAGGAAGAGGGACAGCAGGGGGTGCAAACATCCAAATCCCCCAGCCAGTCCTCCAAGTCACTGTCCTGTGGACCTGACGTGTTCCTACGCCCACGGGGACCTCAGTGCTGAGCACACACTGCTCTTCTCGGCACCTGGCTGAGGGGCAGACAGGCCCCACGGGGGAGGCAGAGCTGTTCTCTTCGAGGCATGTCTACCTGGCCACAGGCTGAGGGATGGTCCCAGGGCTGACTGGCACCTGCACCCCCTTCTCCCACTCCTGTCTCCAGGGATCTGCCAACACGTAGTACTCATCGGGGTTCAGCTGGTAGGAGTCATGTAGCTTCATGGCGGTGATCAGGTCTGTCCTAAACACCTGGAGAGGGAGAGACAGGGTCACGGACATTTGATCTTTGCTTTCTTATTCCGAGCACTGGCAGCTGCAGGGTAACCATGGCGCTGCCGTGTAACAAGGTCACTGGATCAACAGAGAACCAGTCTGGCCTGTGACAGGAAGCCCTGAGCCTGCCACACCCTGGCTTCAGGCTCGGTGGCTCCACGTCCACACAGCAGCTGCAACAGCATCAGCAAAGCAGCTTCCCCTAACTCTCAGTTCACCGAGCGCTGCTGAAACCGTGGGCGGGACCCCTGCAGGGAGGCGTGCTCTTGACGGTATTTAAGAAACAAAGCTCCACGGGCCGTGTAGCAACTTCAAACCCAAACCCGGAACCACCAGGGCCTCCCCTTCTGCACTCCACCTCGCCAGCCCCACCTCAGGCCCCAGGGTATAGAGCGAGGTGTCTGGGAGGTCAGGTCCCAGCTGGCTCTTGCCAGGCAAAGAGTAGGCTGGGACAGAAGCAGTGACAGGCCTGGGAGTCTGGTCCGAGAACGGGCCTTACAGCATGTGCCCACTTGCACACCTTTCCCGGCACAACTGCTACAAGGGAGGCGCTGTGTGTGCAGAATGGGGAGGAGGCAGAAGAGGGAGAGAGGGAAAGAAGACAAGCAAGGTACTGCCCTCTCCTCTCCCTGCCAGAAACAGACCCACAAGTCTCAAAAGGACTCTCAGCCAAGACAGCTCCTCCAGCTTGTGTCAGGGCCCTAAGGGGACACACAAAGGCATCCTGCAGGCCTGCTGCCCTGGCGGGGCAGGAGCCGGCACCGTCTCCTCGTCCACGCCCGTCTCTGGGCGACAGCGCTGACCCTGGCACCAGAGCCGCACTTGGCAGGGAGCGAGCCTGCATCTGAAGGCCACGCTCTCTGTTTACACAAGTCACAATGCTGAGCTCGCTCCCCCTGAGAAGGACAGGGGGTTCTTTCTTGTGCTGCGGAGCACAGCTCACATTCTATCCCGGCTAATAGGGCCATGTTTGTTTTTCCTGGTGGCTTTTCAAGCTGGTGATGACTTTAATACACTTCTCCAGAGCAGTGTCTGAGCTTTGCCCAGCACGCCACTCCCCACTCCCAGCGCCCAGGAACAGAGAGAACCTCGCAGTCCCCACAAAAGCACAGGAAGATCGGCACTGATCCGAAAGCAGGTACCCGGCCAGGCCGGGGCCTCCCCGCCCCAAAGAAAAAGTCCTTTAAAACAAAAGTCTAGGTTCACAACTTCAGGAAGAAAATCAGACTCAAAACACATCCCAACTGTCTTGCAAGTGAAAAAAAATCAGGCGTTTTCGAAAGAAGGAGAATCAAACTGCAGTAACGATAAATGGCAGCCACAACTCCCTTACTCAGACTCCAGCAGGGATGCTCAAGAACCAAAACAGGTGCCCCCAAATGGACACCCGGGTCCCTGGCAGAATTCAACACTAGTGCTTCAGTATAAAAGTGTTTGAAGTCAGAGAAATCTTAGAAAAAATCTGGAAAAAAAACATGGGTCAGGGACAAGGCGGAGTCCAGGTGTCCCGGGGCGGCGGGGCGGGGGAGGCACTGATGTCCCCCAGCCCCCGCATTCCTGCCCTGAAGTCACAGGAGTACGTAAGAAAGACAGTGGGTGTTAATGGCAGCACGGGGAATTAAAGAAAAAAGGAGCAGCAGGCCTGGCCACTCCAGGGTCACCAAAAGGGAAGCAGGCAGTGCGGGCTCCGTAGGACAGAGCCTGGAATGAGCCGGGGCGGTAAAACCACCACCTTCCTCAATGTTTAAGTGTCTCCTGGGGAGGTTTCTACGATTCTAAAGGATGCGTGCTCCTTACTTCTTCTTAGAGAAGGAGTCTCTGCTACACTCCAACACAGCACCCCGCATGCCCCATTCAGCAGAGACACAGGCGTACTGCAGGTGAGGCTGCAGGTGAGGCCGCTGTGAGGTCACCCCGCCAAAAGGCAGCACAACACCAAGGGGCAGAACCAAAGACTGCCTTTCCTACAACCTGCTCACTTGAACTACAGTGCCTTTTCTCCACCATGTCAGTGCTCGGAGCCCAGCAGAGGTGTTCAGAGGAAACACCTCAGGGCTGGTAGGGGCCCCCAGTCAACAAAAGCCAGCAGCAGAGAGACGCACCAAAACACAATCTTAAATAGAATGACAGATGACAGCTAGAGAGAGAACAAAATGGGGAGCAGGGGAGACATTAAGATGAGAAACAAAATGGAAAAGAAGGGAAAAGCCTTAAGCGTAATCCCCAAAACAAAATTCCCAGAATTATATTGTTGTTGCCAAGTAAGCCACAAATTTATGGCTAAAACTAACTTGAGGCTGGCAGTGACTGGCAGCAGCCGAACTCGCTCATGTCCTGGCCAGAGGAAAAGTTGTTGGGAGCCAGCAAACAGGGAACAGAAAAGGAAAAGAAGAATATAATTAATAAAAATAATAGCTAACAGTTACTGAGCACTTTTTTATGTGCTTTGTATGTGTTGACCTCTGTGTATTAACCCCTTAATCCTCATAATAGTCCTGAGGTAACCACCTACGCTATCTCCATCTTACAGGGTTGGAAACTGAGGCACAGAAAGGTTACATAACTTGCCCAAGTTTCACAGACAGACATCAGTATCAGCCTCGGGCCTGTATGTCGTCACGTGTTCTCATGCACACGTGTCTGACATACGTCACGCCAGCATTGGGGAAATACCTCGGAAGGCTTCCGATCTTCATGTCTGGAGCAGGAACCTCTCCTGTGCTGGGACCGGGAATTCTGAGACCAAGTGGTGGACAGGCCTAAAGACACAAATAGCCACAGAGGAACAATTAAAAGTGCAGAAATCACTGAGTGCTCAGTTTTCTTTAGCCAAACTCAGCAAGGCTCACTTCCACACCCCGCATGAGACAGCCATGACGCTGGGCCAGAGCACTGGACACTCAGAGCCCCTCCTAACGCTCACCCGGGCGGGCCTCATGGGACCCCCAGCACAGCACACAGGAGGACACAGGCTCTGGGCCAGAAGCCTGCACGTCTGAAGTTAAGACGGTCAAAGTCTCCCGATGCTAAATACACACTGGAAAACATCTCACTGAGTTTTTAGGAAACTTTCTTAATGCGAAGATTAAGATCTTTATGCTAAATCCTAAGGCCAACCTCAAAACTCCTGGTGCCCCTCTCTGTGCTTCTCCGCTCGCCCAGGCCCAGGCCCTGCCCGGCTCGAGCAGGAGATGGTCAGACCTGCACCTCACTCTCCTCCTGCCCCGGCTCCAGGTGCATGTTCACCTCAAATGAAGACATCGCCCCAGAGCTGTCACCACAGCGCTACAAAACTGGGCCCAACCTTTGACCCAAACCTGTCCTCCCCCGTCTATTCTTAGCCTGGTGAGCATCACGTTTCTACTTGAAGTCAGAAATCTAAGTCACCCTAGACCAGTGGTTCTCAACCTTCTGGCCCTTTAAATACAGTTCCTCATGTTGTGACCCAACCATAAAATTATTTTCGTTGCTACTTCAGAACTGTAATGTTGTTACTGTTATGAAACGTAATGTAAATATCTGATATGCAGGATGGTCTTAGGCGACCCCTGTGAAAGGGTCGTTCGACTGCCAAAGGGGTCGCGACCCACAGGTTGAGAACCGCTGCCCTAGGCCCTCCTCACTCAGGACAGGTCCAATAAATGGCAAAATTGTATTGACTCACTGCCCATCGCCCCAGACTCCTGGTCGGCCCCCACTCACACCACTGCCCATCATGTGTTGTGTAGACACTGGCTGCGGCCTCCTGTTTGTGGATGCCCCACCTGCAATATGTCTCATCCTCCACCCTGAACACATACCTAGCATTTCCCACAAATTAACACCCCCCCGCCCCCGCCTTCAAAGCCAAAACCGGAGCGAACTGCCATCCTACTGTCACTCAAACTGGAAGCTCTTATTTCTACAGATTCCAGAGATAAGGGACAGAACCAAAGTACACATGAGACCTTGGGGACACTAAGAGATAGAATCTGCACGTAAGCCTATCATCGGATTTGCGATGACGGAGACTGAAGGGGATCTATAGCCAACCTTCCCTCTGGCACAACCCACACTCACCAGTTCTGAGGCCTGCAAGTGGGGCGACTGTTAGGACAGCAGAATCAGACCTCCTCCTACAGGTGGCCCCTGTAGCCGCACTCAGGAAAGCGTCTAGAAAATGCTTTTTTAAGAAATAGGGAATGTGAACTAGACCGTTTCACGCCCAATATTCTGGGTCACTGGGATGAACCCAACTTACAGAGGTTCCAAATCCTGTTCATCACTGGAAAAAGCAAAGACAGAAGCCAAGGCAGGAACCTGGAGAGGAAGGTGCTGGGGGGCTCGTGCCTTTAGGAGGCCTCTCTCACCCTGGGGTCCTGCAGGCCCCCTCGGCCGGCTCAGGGCCCGGGGATCTCAGGAGGGGAAGGGAGGGTTATTAGGGCAGGAAGGCATGATTCTTCCCTCTGGTGACTATGGAAGGAATATAATGAAAGGAACAAACCCAGAAATTTAACAAGGACCATTCATCCCATTGCTATACTGTAAACCTCACATGGGGCGGAGGGAGGCGAGTCCTTTCAGAGCTAAGCAGAAACCACACTCCTGTCATTGGTGGGTTGGGGACCTGTTGCCTTTTCTTGGGCATCTGTCAGCATCCCTCCAGCGTCGTTTCCGGGGCCGCCAGGAGCCTGCAGCTTTGCTGGCATGGAACAACCAAAGCAGTGACAGCCACACAGAAACTGCTGCTTCTCTATCCTTGAGAAGTGGGTGTCTGCACCACACTTACTTTTTACAACAGAGAACCGAAGGCGCTGCAGATCGGGCACCTGATAGTAATACCACCCGAGAGAAACACTGGTCCACCCAGCAACGGTCCATTCCTCTTCCTTTCAATGGGCACGATGCATAGGACGGGAGAGAAGTAAAAGTTAATCCTATTAAACCCACTTTATAGAAAGTGAGGCGGGGGGTGTTTCAATTATCACTGATGTGAGAAATGTTCTTAGCCTAATTATAAAGGCCAAAACCCAGAAACTACCCACACATGCGCCAACAGACGGCATGGATTCACAAACGGTGGTATATCCAATCAGTGGAACCCTACCCTGCACCAAGAACGGCGCTTCTGAGGCAGGCCGTGTTGGACGATGCTGGAATAACTACTGCGAGTGAAGGAAACCAGACAGTCTGTAGCATATTATTCCACTTACAGAAAACTCTGAAAAATATACACGAGTCTCCAGCGACAGAAAGTGGATGCTCTGATGAGGGGAAAGGTGGGAGGGAAGGATTTCCTTGAGTTTTACGGCTGTAAACATGCAATAACTTATCAGAGTATCCATATTTAAGGTGGGCAGGAGATACCTGATGGTTTTCTATCATCCACTAACAACAAAGAAAAAGAAAATGCTCCGTTTTACTTGGCACAGGTGGCTCGCGTAAAGACGAGACTTTGCAGCCCATCCAGATGGGAATGTGGGACGGGACCAGCAGACCCTCCCACGTCAGTGGCGGGTCCAGCTGCAGGTCTCTGTTGCGGGTGGTCTCTTCCTCCTGATCTCCTTGACACAGCAGATCCTCAATGAATGTTTTTAAAAGTGGACAAGAATGTGGTGTCGCTGTTCAGGACTGTCATACTCGGCGAGAACCATCCCTGTCACTTCAGAACTGGAGGCAGCAGGCACAGAGAACACGCTCCCGTTTTGCCTATCGAAGTGAGGTTTGAGCTCCAGGAAAATAAAGCAATGGTACATGTAAAGGCAGCCTGGTGGGGCCACGGCCTCCGGATCAGAATGCGGCGACATCCACAGGTTCCCGGGAAGTCCACAGCGGAGACTCCAGCAAGTGTCCTGCCGTCCCTGCCCAGTCCTCCCGCCTCAGCCAGGCCTCTCCGGACGGTTCTCAGATGGTCAAGAAGCTCCCAGAATATGGTCCAAACAAAAATAATTTGCATCCCTTTGTAACTGAAAAAAAGCTAGGTGATGCTGGGTGGGAAAGAATTATGAAACCAGAAATGAGAGCATTTCAAACCCTGAAAGGACGGGGAGACAGACTTATCTCGGCAAACACCTGCCACTGGCCAGTCCTCAGAGCCGTGTGCCGAGGCCGCGCTGGGTGGGGCTGCGTTCTGCGTTGTTCTGAGTGCTAACGTTTAATGGCAGACTACACTAAGAATGTGACGAGTAACATTTTGTTCTGTTTTTGTTTTGTTTTTGTTTTTAAATATATTTTATTGATTTTTTTACAGAGAAGAAGGGAGAGGGATAGAGAGTCAGAAACATCAATGAGAGAGAAACATCGATCAGCTGCCTCCTGCACACTCCCCACTGGGAATATGCCCGCAACCAAGGTACATGCCCTTGACCGGAATTGAACCTGGGACCTTTCAGTCTGCAGGCCGACGCTCTATCCACTGAGCCAAACCGGTTAGGCAACATTTTGTTTTGTTTTCTTTCTGTTTTCAGGAGAGGAGCTGGGAACTCTAATCTGGTAATGATGTCTGTGACTATTTTATTGACCACACACAAGAGAGTGTCTGAAGTTAAGTCCACTCCGTGACAAATATAAGCAACTTCAGAAATTCTTATGCTGTTAGAGTAACAATATTGCATATTAAATACTGTAAAGAATGAATGAAAAAATGTCTTCTTTTGTTTTAATATCCCCACCTTCCATTAAAGTTACAAAGGCTCGCAGGTGGCAATACTGTGGGCACGGGTCTTTCTGATAGTGCAAACGTGCTCCCTTTGAAATATTAAAAATAGCCACACTGAGTTGCCCCAGATCTAAATTAAGGAAAAGCCTCAAGAGTAAATCCAGTGCGTGTTGCACATGACTTTCACGCGTAGTAGCTCATGTGTGTTAAGCCTCCCAGGTTGTGCAGTGCATGCAAGGCTCAGAAATTAGAATGAACGGTGGCCCGGGTGTTCACACCACAAAATGCAAATGACAGAAGAACCTGGCCACAGACCTAGTGGTGCGCCTCCTGTGTCTCAGACCCTGCGTCTGGCACTAGAAAACAACATGCTGGTGGCTCCCGTCCTGTTAAACCGGCTTAACCAGGTAAGATGCTTAGGGCTGGCCAGCATGACGTCCAGTGGCCGGCCAGCATCAACTGCCAGCGCAGACCTGAGAGGGCCCGAGCGTTACTCCCGGGACGGCTAGCCTAGCCCTGTGCAAGTCAAGCAGAGCCATGGAAATTCCTATCGGAAAGTTAGCTGAGTTAATGTAGTCACTGGCTATTCACTGTAACAGGATGATAGGAATCAAGCCTTGGATACAGCTGCCGTTTCTATCTGGGGCTGACCCTATGCCTACCCCAGCTCTTCCTCCCCAGCAGAGCTCAGCTCCATGGTCCAAATCACTGCCAACTTCCAAAATACAGAAGCATAACACATACATTCAAAGAACTGGCCCAGGCACGTTCCGACATACTTAGTGCACTGGGTTCTTCAACCAACTGGCACATGCATTTGATTCCCAGCCCCTAGCCCTCCTGCTGAGGTCCAAGTCCCAGGGCCACAGAGGTTAGTCCATGCCCAGGATCCTTTGTGCCAGTGGCTCCTCGAGCCCAAGCTGTTAACCTTTTCATCAATGTCAAAGCCAAGCCACCAGTTGGGTCTGAAAAGGGGCAAAGCCACCTGTGGGCCTTGAGGAGACACGGGTACGGTGTACATTCTGTAGTACTCAAGCCAAAGTTCCCATTTCAGTGATTCCTATGCAACTCCTGGGTGTGTCACCTGATGCAACTCCTGTGGAAAAGGAGCAAATTAAAGGTACAAACAGGAGAACAGAGACAGAGCACAGAAACCACCGAAGACGTGTGTGGAGGTGACCAAGCACAGCCAGCCAAACAGAAAAGGAAGACAAGTTACCAAAAACTGGATGGGAATCCATCAAATGCAGTGATACGGAGAGTCTGTTTCATCCGCTAAAAAGGATGGTGCCTTCACTGCTGCCGGTAAGCTGGACAGCCCAGAAAAACAGCCCCCACATAACTTCATGCTTGCCAGGCGTCGGCCTGCATTACCAGCTGCAACTGTAGTTGGTGTGAATCTGACTCAGCAATCTTTCCTGCCCATTCGTGGGACAGGAGGTAGAGCCGAGCTCAGCTGCAGAACTGCCCTTGACAGGAGTGTGTCCCAGCGGCACAGGTGTGGACCCTGGGTCCCGGCCACACCGGCTTTCCACAGGGAGTTGGACCCAGACCGGAAACGGAGGACATCAGACCGAAAAAGGAAGCCTTGCTTCACAATTTTAGGAAAAACTCTGACCTATCAGCACACCTCTGCTCTCTTTGTGGAAAATAAAAGAACCAATTTAACTTCCCTCTGAGTTTTTGAGAGAGAGGCACATTTTAAAACAACCAAAACACCAAAAACACCACTTACACTTGGCTCCCTTCTCCTGGCCAAAGCCCCCACGTGTTTAAAAAACTGGCCAAATGAACAGTCTTCTTTCTGTTCTACTATTTAATTCTCATCTTACTTTTACATGAAAAAAATATATATAAGGATGCTGATCAGAGCTGTTAACTGGCCTGAGATAACCAGCAACACATGATTCCTGCCAAAGAAAGAACACGATGTCTCAATGAGCCTCTGCAGCTTTATTACCGGTGAAATGAGACCTCCTTTAGGGTCTGGAAATGCTGGAAATAGCTGATGGACCCCACTCGCACATTTGCAGAAACCCCTAAGGGCTGAGGATCCTCAGCAGGGAAGCAGGAAATGAAGGGCCTGTTTTCCTGCCACCCCTTGGCACCGTGTGCAACTTCAGAGGCTGGCAGGGCCACCCCGTCCCAGGAGCCCAGCAATTACAGGCGCAGCCTGAAAACACTGCAACGCTGCTCCATCCAAGAGTAGGGCTGGCCCCCCGGGGCACCTGGAGAGGCTCCGGCAGCTGGAGGAAGGCCCGCACTGGCACAGAAAATGCCCGTCCTCTCCCCATGGTAAATACCACACTGCTGCTCCCTGACCGGGCTCCAGCCCCAGGCCAGCGGCGAGGCGTGGCTGCGGCTGGTGCTGCGGCCCCACGCTGACGTCAGCAGCTCCCTCTCCTCCACTTGGACACGCTCTGCACTGGCTTGGAGCTGCTGCCAGAATCCCGTCAGGGCTGCAGGCTGGAGAGCGGCCACTGCAGACCCAGCCCTTCTTGCAAGCAGGGCTTTCCAAGTGCCCAGATCCGCTGAGGGCCGGCTCGGGCCTGGGGACCTGACTGCAGCGGCAGAAGGCACCTCACTTCACAAAAGGACGGGTGGCTCCAGTGCCTATGGGCCTCGAAGGAGCTGCCCTCAGGGAAGGTGGAGAGGGGTGGTTCCGTGGGTGATGTGCATGTTTTCTAAGGCTGGGCGTGCCAGGGTGCTCACCACTACCACCAGGCACCATAACTGCCCAACACTAGGCCTGGATGGACAGCACGGCTATGAGGCATCAATGCCTCCTCTACACCAAACCAGCTGCCTGACAAAGATGGCCTGTCCACGTCTCGTCCTGCCCAGCCCTACTCTTGGATGGAGCGGCGTTGCCGTGTTTACAGCTTGGCTGTCTCTCTAATTAACCCCCAGGACCCTCTAAACACCGACCTGAACCCTCTGCCCCCCACATGGATATGAGCGCATTAGGAGGAGGAAGAAAACAGCCCATCACCAGAAGGGTGACTTTTTATGAACACACTTTTAGTGGGGGCTGTGGCCGCTCTCCTCCTTCATTTTTAACCAGAGCTTGGGAAGGGTGGGAAGGGGTGCATGTTTAGGTGAAGCATGTGGTCCTCTATGGCTGTTACGGGCTGAATTGTGTCCCCCAGCATTCCTAGGTGGAAGCCAGGCCCCCAGTGCCTCAGAATGGGGTGTACCTGGGGACAGGGCCTTTAAAGGGGGGATTAAGTTAAGTGAGGTCTACGGGTGGACCCTGGCCCAAGCTCTCTGGTGTCCTCGTAAGAAGAGAACACTGGGGCACACGGACGCAAGGGAGCCCGCACAGAAGGCCACGTGAGGACACGCGAGACGGCAGCCACCTGCACGCCAAGGAGAGAGGCCTCAGAGAGACAGTCAACCTGTCAACACCGCGATCTTGAATGTCTGGCCTCCGAGCCGTGAGAAAATCATTGTGTGTTTACGCCCCGGCCTGAGCTGAGGCTCCTGCAGAGCGGATGGGCCCCGCCGCCCAGAGCTGCACTGTCCAACACGGCCATCACCAGTCGCACGCGGCTTTTTAAATGTAAATTAATTGAAATTAAATAACATTTTAAAATTCACTTCCTCGGTTACACTGGATTAGAACATTTCCATCCAATTGGGCCGCTGGAGCCCAGCGAGGGGAGGGCCTAATTCTGGGGGAACATTCCAGAACCTCTGTGAGCTGGGCTCTGCCGGGGAGGAGCTGAGGCAGTGGTGGGGACAGAGTGAGCAGGACCTGCTGCCAGTGCCACCAGGATACTGACGCCGGGCTCGGCCTTCCACCCGGCACAGCCAGTGCGGAGCCCGTTCGGGAAACCTTCCTCCGACGAACTGTGACCAAAAACCAAGATCTTTAAAATTGCTGCAGGACTACAGTGTGTACTCCACAGCATTTACTGAGCTCTTGTCCGTTCCGAGGACACTTTGATAGGCACCACAGGGGGCAGACAACATTACCGACGCATGTTTTTGCCTCAAGGAGTGAAACGCCAAGCAGATATTAAACAGGCAGTGAGGGCCGCGAAGCTCAGACGGCACCGTGAAGGCGCGGACAGGAGGCTGAGCGCCTGCGCCCGGCTCAGACCCTCAGGAGCTCTCCCGGAAATAAAAGGAGAACCCTCTCTCCGGAGCCCCGCTCCTGGCCTCTTTCTCTCTCCCCCTCACTCCCCCCTGTGCCAAACAGCAGCGTCCCCACAGCCGGCCCCCAAGTCCCAATCCCTCAGCTGCTTCCTGATCTGGTCACGGCTTAACTTACTCGTGCCCCAAACTCCGACCCCCCTCCCACAGCCACCAACTCTACTTCCCACTGCTCCACGCCTGGACCAGGGTGCCAACCGAATCCCTTGTGCTTGAGATGCTTTTACGTACCCGGTCCCCTCCCTCCACGTTCCCTGTGGCCATCAGTGTAGCCCCCATGGCAGCAAAGCCCTGCTTTCTAATTTGCAGCTTTCAATCTACTGAAAACTGGGAGGCTAGAAAACCCAAACGATCCTGTTCACCTAAAAATTATTTCATCGTTCAGGACCTGCTCAACCTCCATCTCCTCCCCCGGCCTCCTGCCCTCCCAGCCTTCACCTCCTCCCTGGGGACCCCTCCCCTCCCCAGGGCTCCTCCCTTCCCAACCTCCATCTCCTCCCCAGGTCCCCTTGACCCCCCAGGTCCCCTTGTCCCCCCACTCCTGTGAACCGTGCCTGCATCCACCGTTTGCATAGAGCACCAGAGACACCTCTGCCACAGCCCAAGACGTCGTCTAGCAGAGCTGGAGTTTACAAATACCTGACTCGGAGAGCTGGCCCGATATCTCTGCCTTCACACAGGAAAGCAAGCATTCTTTCTGGGTTCCCCGCGGGTCATCTCTAATGTACAACACCAGCTAATGGGCTGGAGCTCAGGCACTGTGCTAGGGACAAAATTCCCTCGGTATCTGAGGGGAGCTGCGGAGCAGTCTGTTAGCTGCTCAATACACAGACGCTGTGTGACATTTATTTTGACTGCCTGGAAGCCAACTAACTTCTGGGTCTCAGCTGCACTGTGAAAACATGAGGATGCCAGCGAGCTGCGGTGCGGGCAGCAGCCGTATGAAATACAGTCACCGGCAAAGCCAGGGAGGGGCGCCGGCTCGCCACCACTGCAGACCCGTCCTGAACACTTCACATCCCCCAGGCAGTCCTCAGTCTCCCTTTGTATCGGGCTGAACTGGCCAATAATTAACTGGCTTTGGTTAAGCTCCCTTCTTATAAAGAGCAACTGTGAAGTGATGTTCAGGAGGAACACACAGGCCAGTGGCTCTGGGAACTGGATTCCTCGTCCTTGGGTAACAGGCAGAAGCCTGAGGAATGCCCACGCAGCCACTTCACCGGAGAGATGTGGTTACAGACCTGCAGTATCATTCAAGGTGCTTCGCCAGGCCTTGGCACTCAACGACCTGCCTGACAGGCGAGACCTGCCCGGGAGGCCAAGGGCCTCGGCTATTTAAAGCATTACATTAAAAAATCATGTTTCGGCCCCAAACCCTGGTGGGCTCCAAGAACAACAAAGCAGGACTCACTGCCATTGTCGTCAGAATCCTCACTGCTGCTGGGAAGGCGACCTCGTTTCATGATCTCCCCGGGAAACAGCAGGCAGCCTGCAAAGCAATGAGACAGCACTTAACCCAAGATGATAATACACGATCATCAAGTTGTGCTTCAGAAGGCAGCCAGGATTTACAGCACACAAAAGCAAACAATCGGCTTTAAGGAGCATTTGAATGGTAAACAGTGAAAAGCCCAAAGATACATAATTAGGTGCAATCATTAACAGAACAGGTTCAGAACCGAGGGGGAAGGGCAGGGGAGTCACGTATCAGGAGTCTCCCAGAGGTGCCAGGTTCCTCGCTCATTCCTGTGACAGCATGGCAACTACTCCAGGAGTCTGTTCAGCTGGCGGTGGCAAGCGCTGCAGGAAAAACCCAGGCAACGACCACGGTGCTTCCTCTGCAGACAGGCTCCTGTCTTAGGAAGGGGGGCGGTGTGCGGAACGTGTGAATATTTACACGGCGCTGGGCATGATTATGCTTCTCAGGCATATTTCACTGCAACAGCCCTAAAAGCTGAATAACCTAGATTCTAGGGAAGACAAATGGGGTGGTGGGATTGCAAAGGCCTCCCGTAGCCACCTCCAACCCTCAGCGATGCACAGCTGGGACAGGAAAGGACCAGACAGCCATAGGATTCTGACTCAAGCCCTCCCCTTGACACATTAGGAAACTGAGCCAAAAAAAGGTCACTCTGTGGTCCAGTTTCACTACACTTCACCCCAGCTCCTTCCAGGAGGTCCACGGGTCCAACCTCACGCAGCACACTAAGAAATCAGCTGTACAGGCACCCAGCCCACTTTGCCAGCTCCTTCCAGACACAGGTGGTAATAGGCCTCAGCCCCATGGGGTAAGAGGAAGGCTGTGTTTAGGAAAAATGGCCATGGGTGGAGCCTGAATGGCCCGGTCACTGAACTTAGATGGACTCACGAAATATTTGCACAGGGCAGCTACCCCAAAACTCTCCCAAACTACAATTACTGATCACCCTGATATATCTTCAGGGCCCTGATCTTACTGCAGATCAATGATTCGCAGGAAGGGAGGAGGGCTTTTGAGTCACAGGGAACCACAGCATCAGAATGTGGTGTGAACAGAGTGTGGACAAAAGTTGGTGTGACCCACAGCATCAGGATGTGGTGTGAACAGGGGTGTGGCCACAGGATGGTGTGAACCACAATATCAGAATGTGGTGTGAACAGAAGTGTGGCCACAGGATGGTGTGAACCACAATATCAGAATGTGGTGTGAACAGGAGTGTGGCTACAGGATGGTATGGAAAACTGCTGTGCTAGAATAAGACCCAAGAAAAAAACCCAGAGCTCCTCTCTAAACGGACCTGTAAAACAAGCAGAAATGATCACAGGATGGCCGTTCCCACCTGCAAAATAGACCTATGCAATTCATGCGAATATTCAGGCCCCTAATCTGTAATTCCAATATTTTATATTTTCTTTCTGAGACACTACCCCAGTTAAGGTGTGTGGATATTTGTCTGCCAATGGGTTCTTCAAAAAGACATTGAAAGAATTTACAAAGCCAGGACATGAGTCCTGACCTGGGTCATGAGCTGTCTTATGGGCTAGGGTTTCATCCTGGGGACAGGGTCACAGTCCTAAACCCTCCCAACCCCCTTGCAGAACTACCCAGCTACCTACAACTGGGCCTTGGGCAGGCTCACAGAAGTCAAAGTGGTCCACAGCCCACAAACACCTGTGGCCCACTCCCCACTTGAAATGCTCATCTTCTGGCCCTGTCACCATGCACACTAACTGCTCACAGTGACACCCTGCTCCCCTCTGGACCCCACAGGAGGCAGCACAGGGAGGAAAGGGAGAGAGAGGAGCACTCATCCCAAGGCTGCAGCTCCCAGAGCCTACATTATAAGTGAGTTTAAAAAGAAAAAAAACAAAACACAAAAACAAAAAACTAGAAAGTGCTATCAAAAGAGGAATTCCTTAAAGTAACAGCATGAAGCGGCAGAACACAGCGGGAAGAATGCAGTTCCCACCTCCTGAGCTGGTGTGAGAACTGTGGAGAGGAGCAGTGCAGAGGCTGAGAAGGCCCCTCAAACCCCAGCGACAAACAGGAAAACAAAGGCTGATTACACATCTTCACTGATGCAGACAACTTAAATGTACCTGGATAGGAAAACATGGAGAATGAAGAATCTTTTTGCATCAAAGTGCCTTCCTCCTCTCCAACCAGGGAAAGCACTTACTTAGCAGTCACTCACTAAATGAAAAATGCAAGCACCGCCCAAAATGCAATGATACTCCTCTCCTACACACACATCAACACTCTCAAGCAAGATCATGCAAGTAAAGCAGAGTGAAAACAGTACTTTCCTTCTAATGAATTCCATTCCATCTGCCCTGAAAGATCTTGAGGGATGGAGTTGAGAACACTGCACCGTACTTCTGTAGGGAACCCTGAGAGGTGATGGGGTGAGTGCTGGGCACCATTTCCTCCTCGAAGGCTCTAATGTACTTACACACTGACCTCAGGCTGCTGTATCTCACCTGGGGTTACTTACTATATCAAGAAATCAAAATACATGTAACTATCTTCAGGCAACACAATACAGTGGTTGAATGCTACAACCAGCTGTGCAGTAAAAGCCAGTGGGAGAGAGCAGAGGGCCCCTGCATCACCACTTTGCTGCCTCTTTTAGGGCAATGGCTCACTATTATCTGGATGGTAACAGTTTAAGTAGTAATCAATCACAGGGCTACTCTCAACACTCCAGAGATAGCTGCAAGAAGATGACCCACAAGCACGTGAATCCCTGGGCTATTAGGAGGCACTAGAGCAGCCGTGGGCAAACTACGGCCCGCGGGCCGTTTGAAATGAGTAAAACTAAAAAAAAAAAAGACCGTACCCTTTTATGTAATGATGTTTACTTTGAATTCATATTAGTTCACACAAACACTCCATCCATGCTTTTGTTCCGGCCCTCTGGTCCAGTTTAAGAACCCATTGTGGCCCTCGAGTCAAAAAGTTTGCCCCCTCCTGCTCTAGAGGGAAGTGACCGTCCAGACCCCGTGCAGCTGAGGAGAAGGCACGGCAACAGGAGCTCAGTATGGTCAGTGCCTGACAGTGGTCAACGCACGCTGTGTGGGACAGAGGCTGAGGGAGTCAGGACGATTCTGAGCAAAGTCGAGGGACAAAGGGGAGGGAACTGGAAGAGGAAGCACACATTTTGGGCAAAGCACTACCATATTTAACAACATGTATCCAACCTAGCATATTACTCTGAGCAGCCTCTTCGCACTAAAAACCTATTTGTTCATTTCTGTACTAATGCACGTCCCTTCTTATCCTAGGCTTGTCGATTCACAATGTATGAATCCTTCAAGTCCACTGCCCCAGAGGTCTGTCATCAACCACCGATACCTACATTGCTTAAAGCACCACCCTTCCATTCTTGGTTGTCTACAGTTTCTACCCTTTCCAATTATTCTAAAAACTAATCCTCCCTCTGAGGTGACCTCATCGAGCCATGCCCCAAGCCAATTTCTCCCTTTGCTCCACAATGCAAACAGGTCCAGGCAGAACACAGAGGTCTCCCGTCACCTGGCCCTTCAGCTCTGCCTAAGCCTCTCTCCCAACATGACCAGCTTACCTCGGCTGGGCCAGGCCTCTGCCCTGGAGACACCTCCTCCTCTGTTCTCAAGCCTCTGCTAATGCGGCTCCTCTGCCCCTTCCTCCTCACCTGCCCGCTGTAGAGAGGGACATGCCAAGACAGCGGGGAGGTGTGGTGGCTGCTCAGAGCAGCACCTGCTAGGGGAGCAGGCTCCTCCCCTCACTGGCCCAAGCCTCAATATTACATGCAGATCACCCTCTTTCAGTCTCTTCTGTCACTCAGTTAAAATGCAGTGCTGGATCAGCTAATATTAATCCAATTAAATGTGCATGGAGTTTGATGCCAGAGACACGGTGAACAAGATACGGATGGTCCACAGGGAGACGCAGCAAGTACACAACTAGACCAGCAGCTTTCAGTGTGGCCACTGCTAGAAAGATTACTGGATTACTGTTCATGGATTATGGTGAGACATGGAACTGTCCATGAGATAGCAATGTACCTGACAACCTTGAAACTGCAGTTTCCTTGGGGGGGGGGGGGGGGGGGCGGGGGCGGGGGCAGACACCAGTAGTACTAAGAGCAGCCATTAGCTGCAGGAACCCATCCCGAAGGTGGTTCAGGAATTTGTAAGGGAACAAGTTCAGTGACCAGGGTGTGTCCCAGGGAGGCATGACTGGTATGTGACTCTAAGAATGAGAAATGAACTCAGTGACAAGGAGAGAAGAGCTTTCACAAAAGAATAAGATGATTAAGATTTTGAGGATGTTTATTCAACGCCTTTCCTGGGAAAGAGGGACCCATTTGAGGAAAACAAACTTGTCCAGTTACCAGAATTACTCTCTGTGGTTGAACAGGGACCACTTATCCGGCCATAAACTCTACAGCTGTAATAAGAATTATACCCTAGTGATTTTAATTATCTTATGGCTCATACTCAGAAAGGCTAGCTTCTTCCTCAAAATATCAATTTTCTCTACTGTTTCCATTCTTATTTATTTCGCTCTCAAGAAGTTCGAGAAGGTTCAGCTAAAGACCTCTTATATTTCTGGATTATCCCCTACTGCAGTGCTGGGCATCACAATAACCTTTGGATCAACGACTGAATTCCCATGCATGAACTGTATCCAACGCTCACAGGCTTTATGGAATTTGAGAAGCTTTCACTTTAATATCTAATTGACCTTTAACTGGAGTAACTTCCATTAAATTACTTTTAAATTTATTGGTGTCCTTCCATTCTTTGTGAAAGTTAATCTAATACCTAAATGTAGGAAATTCAGCCCGGCGGCGTGGCTCGGTGGTTAAGAGTTGACCTATACACCAGGAGGTCACCGTTCCCCATCAGGGCACAAGCCCGGGTTGCAAGTTGGATTGATCCCCAGTAGGGGACATGCGGGAGGCAGCTGATCAATGATTATCTCTCATCATTGGTGTTTCTCTCTCTCTCTCTCCCTCTCT